GAGCTCCTGGGGCGACGGAGTGTGCTGCAGGCTCTGGCCACTGCCAGCGCCTCCACGACCACCACTGCCGCCGCCAACTCCTCGACCACCCCCTCCCCTGCCGCTGCCGCGTCCACCGCCGCCCCCACCACCACCCCCGCCCCTGCCACCTCCCCCGCCGCTGCCGCCACCACCCCCACCGCTGCCACTAGCCCCTCCAGCCCCACCACCACCCCCACCGCCGCCACCACCCCCACCACCGCCTCCCCCGCCGTCACCTCCGCCTCCCTTGCCCCCTTTGCCTTTTACGTTGGGGCGCCAGCTCGAAGCAGACGCAGTCCCGACCTTCTCAGCACCAAGGAGGTCGACCGCAGAATCAGAGGCTACAGAGGGAAGAAGGGGGGAAGGGGAACACCCCTCGAAGAAAGGGGTGCGGGGGTCGCCACGAGAGGCACCTACAGCGACTATGCTAGCCTCAACTGCAAGTAGTTCCTTCTCGAGGAGGGCAATGGTGAGCTCAGTGGGGCAGCGAGCTAGGAAGTGGTCCCTGACTGCATGCAGAGAGTCAGGGAGGCGGGTGACTAGGTGGTAGAGAGTGAGCCAGAGCGGGGGGGGGGTTCGTGGCAAGAAACTCATCAGGCATAGCGGCACGGAAGCGGGCCTCACTAGTACGGAGGTGCGTGATGAGGTCAGCGACTGTGTGGAAGGAGGCGAGGTCGGGGAACAGGTAGGGGAGTAAGAGACGGCCTAGCGCGGCAGAGGCAGGTGAGGAGTAGCGGGCAACGGCAGTAGTGTACAGTGCCTGTGCAATCTTGTGCTGGCCAAAGTGCTCGCGTTCATCTATCGGCAGGGAGTTGCGAATAGCAAAGCGAGCGTGGGCGTCACGAGTCTGCCACTGTGAGCGGGCAGTGCTGTCAGCATTAGCAGCAGGGGCAGTGGCATGGCCTAGGGCGTGATCGTACTGTGAGATGTCCTCCTTGGCAGTGAGCTGTAGGAAGAGGTGCAGGTCATCTAGCTAGGTGTCAAACTTCACTAGGCGGCCCTCAGTATCGAAAGCTAGTACAGGAGGGCTAGCCATAGTAGCAGTAGGAGCAGCAGTATAGTAGAAGGAGCAGTAGCAGTAGGTGCACCCTAAATGCAGTAGGCAGCGCGACTCAGGTAGGGCGGCTCGGTCCAGAAAGGCTGCTCAGTACGGGCGGCGCGGTTCGGTTCAGGTAGGGCGGCGCGGCTCGGTTCGGTCAGCGCGGCTCGGCTCGGGCTGGGCGGCTCGATTCGGGCAGCTCGGTTCGGGCGGCCTGGTTCTGGCGGGGCCGTGGCTGTCGCATGCGGGGCGCTAAGGGGCGGCGTGTGGGGTCGACGGGGCCGCTAAGGGGTGGGCTGCGCGTGGGGTCGACGGGGCCTCTAAGGGGTGGGCGCGCGAGGTCCACGGGGCTGACGGTTCCGCTACGGGACGGCGCGCGGGGTCGACGGGGCCAGCGGGGCCTCTAGGCGGGGCCGACGGGGCCTCTAGGAGGGGCGTGCGCGGGGTCGACGGGCCGACGGAGCCTCTAGGTGGGGCCGACGGGGCCTCTAGGTGGGGCGCGCGGGCCGACGAGGCCTCTAGGTGGGGCCGACGGGGCCTCTAAGAGGAGGCGCGCGGGTCGCTAAGGGGCCGTTAAAAGAGGGGCGCTGGGGGAGGCGCTCGAGGGCGCTCCGACAGTGAGGCGCACGAGGGCGCTAGTAGGCAGTCAGCAGTGGTGGGCCCTAAGAAATCGGTCCTAGCGAAGGACCTGCTCTGTATACCATGCTAGAGAATGAATGGTTGAATTGAAAGAGAAGTGAGTACAAGTACCTAAACATAGAATTGTGTACCCCCTAAATGCTAACCCACTGTAGCCTAAACACCTACAACATATATAATGTTTTACATTATGCACTTCGAGTTGTGTGGTGCTGCATGTGCGGCTCAGAGTACAAGGTGCGGTTTGTGAATCAAGATGACAATGGCGCCGCCAAAAGTGAATCCGCCGATGGCAGACAAGGTGAGACTTGTGGCTCTGATAGATTATCGTGAATCCGGCGATGGCCGACGGCCGGGTCGCCAAATTGTATTTGCGAAGTTTGGCAAGTTTTGGTTCAACTTCGGAAGGAGTCAGAAGAACAAATGGCGGGGTGAAAGTGTTGGCACCCATACCCCATTGTAGCTGTTCTAGTACACGCAAGTTTGTTTTTTCCTCAACACTTTGTGCTTACTTTGGCTTCGTTTGTGTTTATGTGGCTCCGTTCGTTTACGGTTGAAGCTACGGGCAGGGAAGCTCGTCTCTGCTTCAGCGAGGTTTCAAAATCCGGGCAGGTTACGTAATAGGCAAGCGAGTATTTTGCGTGAGTTACGGGACGGCAACAACACGAAGCTGTAAATGTTTTAAATTTACCACAGTAACAGGCCTGGGGTCGCTAGTTGGGCAGCTAAAAACGGAACAGGTTCGAAGAAATATTATGTAAGGACCAATCAGAATGTGAAACCGTGAGAGAAGCAAAATTGAATGAGAGTCACCGCGAAGTGGAAACCGAGAGGTGTTTGGGTTGGTGCACCACCCACCTGCTCGGTATACCAAATTCCTCCTGTCTCAGATCTAAGGGCGTGTGCACTTGAGGCGAAATTTGTCATAGTTCGAACCTCAACCGCTTTGCACCGTGGCAAAATGTCTCTTATTAGTATCGTACCGAATAGAACCTCGCTCAAAGTTCGAACTTAGACAGAGTTCGAACGCCTAGTGCACACGCCCTAATTATTTGGTTCTCGCTCAGATCTTAGAACCTGTACTCGGTATCGCGCTTCACGTTCTACGGCCTTGCGCTTGCTCGTAGTACCCTATTCGAACTTTCCGTTCTCGTATCATAGTAGCGTTGCACTTGACGCCCGCTTCGGATCTTACCTTGGGTAATAGCGCGCTATCTGATGCTTATGATTTACTTTCGTAATTTTGGTTAGATTAGGTTTACTATGTTCCCGGAAGGCACCCATTTAGCGCATGTCACGCTACTTCAGTTTCCGCGTTAATCTCCCACCGCACGTGACCAGTTTTTCAACAAACCCTAGAAACGCCATGTTTCTGTGATGCGCGCTGACGCCATCTCTTATCACGCACCCAGATGCTGTCTCACCTCGAAATTCGAATGAACTCGTTTTTTTTCCAGCACGAATGTACGAATGCATGCCTTCACACTCTCTCTCCTTGCCCCCTTCTCGCCCCCTCCCACCCCGCTTCCTCCGACTCTCCTCGCTTTCGCAAAATCGCAGAATATAAAATTTGAAAGGAATGCTTCTCCCTCCGTTTTGCCGCCCCGCATATCCCCCCATTCCCCCGTCGCTCCCCCCTCACCCCATTCCTTGATAATCCCTTGCTCCGCTTCTCCTCATCATCCCCATTTCGCTCACGCCTCGCCCCTCGCGCTCATCCTTTTCCTCCCTCCGCTGATCCCCTTTCTCCCCTGTGTTGATTCCTTTTCCCCACTGCGCTCATCCTTATCGCCCCTGCGTTGATTCTTATTCCCTCTGTGCTCAGCTTTTATTCCTCCCAACATTTATCGCTCATCTCCCCCGCCCGCGCTGCTCATCCCCAGGCACTTATCCCTCATTCCCCTGCTCCCATCATCCCCCCCGTGCACTCCCTTCATCCCCACTGCGCTCATGCCTTCTCTCCCTCCTGCACTCATCCCTTTCCCCATCCCTCATTCCTTCCCCCTGCGCTCACCCTTCATTACCCCTGCAGCACTCACGACTCGTTCCCCTTGCCTTACCCTCAGCCCTCCTCCCTTTCTCCCTCGTTCCCGCCACATGCACAGTATATTGTTACAACGCCCAACCCTCTTTCCCTCTGCAGCTCTCACTCTCATTCTCCCTGCACCAGTCACCCCTCATTCCTCTTGCCTTCCCCTCTGCCCCCCTATGCGTATCCCTCGTTTCCCCCGCACCTGTACTTCCCCCTGCGCCCATCCCCCATTCCCCCTGTGCTCACCCTTTTCGCGTGCGCTCATCCCTCATCCCCCCTTTCCCTCACCTCCCCCCTGCCCTCATCCCTCATTTCCCATGCGCCATCCCTCGTTTCCCCCACGCAACATTCTCCCCTTGTTCCCCTGCAGAAATCACCCCTTAACCCCCCTGCAGCACTCCCTCCTCATTCTTCCACACTCTCTTACCTCCTGCCCTATCCCTTGTTCCCCGAACAGAGCAGCGAATCTGCTTTGTGCTCACAAAGAGTATGAAGAGCATCAAGAAGGCATCAAATCAGGCTGCTTGTTGCTTACAAGGAGATACAGAAGTCAGTTTTAGATGACCAATGTGTTTTTTTATGTCTGCTACGGTATGCGTCCAGTGTTTCCCATTATTATAAGCGATTTACCAACGTTGTTCTATTATACAGCTTACCTGTTGCAGCTAACCAGATGCACAGGAAGGATGCAAATATGAGGGTGATTTGAGCAAGCATACAGCAAAATGATGTTATTGTTGCCTTGGATGTTACAGATCCACGTGTGCATTCTCTCATTGCGGATCACGGCTCACTCCACGCGAGACCAATCGAAAGGCCATCAGGCATGCTTTGACCTGGATGTGACGCGACAACCTCGAGAATAAGAGCTCAGTGACAGGTCTCATCTTGCCACGTGGGCGTCTGACTGGCCCTTCAGGTTCGGTCATCCCTCCTGTCAGAAATATTGGAGGTTCATTGCGATTGGCAAATCCTGCCCGTCGCATCCGCTATGTCGCAATTTCTAAGCATATCTTGTCCGTCAATTCCACATTTCAACTGTCGCGGAGGCATCTTCCCCAACCCCTGCTCAACCTCCATCTGACTCCCTCTGATGCTTGAACTTACCTTGGGATTTCCGTCTTGGCAGATAAGCCCAAGGTATCTCTCCCTGATCAGGCCAGCAATTTCAATTTTCTGGTCACAGAATCTGGTTTCAGTTGCCTGATCACTCCCAGCTCAACTGACTAGACTTAGCCAGTTTCCATTTCCTGATTAGCTTCTGAAGCCATGGAGGCTGTCGCACTCGCTCCTCGCGTGCCAGTTGCGCTTTCCCAGCGAAAAGCTGTCGCAGGAGCTTCGAGCCAGCGTGCTCGCTCCCTCGCAGCTCCCCAGCAGCAGCGCTGGCGATGCTTGTCTTCCTCGTCGTCGAGCGTCGCAGGAGTGTCGCTCCTGAAATCCTTCGCACAGGCACGCAGTGCTAAGACCGGAAAGGCCTCGGCGTCTCGTCTGGTAGTACAGGCAAAGGACGAGTCTTTCGATTATGATCTTATCATTATCGGCGCTGGCGTCGGTGGTCATGGCGCTGCTCTGCACGCCGTCGAGCAGGTACCTTTCGTCAGGCGTATGGTTGACGATTCCAAAACAGAGGAATAGCTAGAACGTCTTATTCGCAAATGAGTGCGTCTTGTGTCACTTGAAGGTCTTTATTTCTAACAATGTCCGCGTCATGTTTCGTGGCCCTTTACAACGCTGATTAGTGTTCATGCACTTCAATTTTTTGGCACAATTTGATTACCAGGGCCTGAAGACGGCCATTATCGAGGGTGACGTTGTGGGAGGCACATGCGTGAATCGCGGGTGCGTGCCGTCTAAGGCGCTTCTCGCCGTCAGCGGTCGCATGCGCGAGCTCAAGGACGAGCATCATCTCAAGTCGCTCGGTATCCAGGTAATATCTGGTAACAATTGATCGATATTACTTGACAATTGATGGTTAAACCCGTCTGCCAAGCGTGAGAAAGCGTTGCACGTTTGTCCTGTGCGCGAGTTCGGGGACAAGCATCACCACAATTCAGTCAGCATCCACGTAGTACCGTACAACTGAATCAGACCCAAGTAGTTTATCACTCGTAAACCTGAATCATGCTTGCAAGTTAAGAAGCTTGCCATACAAGCTCTCTCAGTAAGCACGGTCGGATAATTTTCGTTCCTCCCTTCCTTTCGCCCTCCAGGTCGCAGCAGCGCAGTACGACCGGCAAGCGGTGGCAGATCACGCGAACAACCTGGCTGCGAAAATCAGAGGCAACCTAACCAACTCGATGAAGGCCATTGGTGTCGACATTCTCGATGGCTTTGGCTCCCTCGTCGTAAGTGCCACGTACTACCGTCGGCTCTCCTCTCCTCCAGCCAACCCTACTAATCAGTCCATATCGCCGTCCTTTTCATGAACCCTGTACACCTTTTCCCGTTGGTTTCACCCAATCGTTCGACATCACCTTGGTCTCACGGCCTGACGGCCTATCCCGCTCCCGTTAATCCCATTGCCGTGCCCAACAGACCCCTCAGAAGGTGAAGTACGGCAAGCCGGGCGCGGCGGAGAAGACAGTGACGGCGAGAGACGTGATCATCGCCACCGGCTCCACGCCCTTCGTGCCCCCTGGCATCGAGGTCGACGGTGAGTCTCCCGCGTAATGGCGGATTGTGCGTGTTTTAGGCTGCTCGTTGTCTTCAATATGCTGTGTGTTGTGGTTTACGCTCCGTCGTCATGGCATCCCTTGAACATGCTCTTCTTCCCCTTTCCGTTTGTCTCGATTCGTAAGCTCGCTTCAAGAGTGTGGACAAGCTCGAATCGTCATATTTTCTTGCGCGCACTAACCACGTCGGTATACGCGAGCAGCGACGGGGCTTTGAAACTGTAGTGGGAGGGGAATTGTATGGTCATTAGGTGTTCACTTGTATTGTGCTTGTGTCCCACTTGCTCGATTTCCGACTGACCCATTTATCCCCACCAGGCAAGACGGTGTTCACGAGCGACGAGGCCCTGAAGCTGGAGTGGATTCCCGACTGGATCGCCATTGTGGGCAGCGGTTACATTGGCCTCGAGTTCAGCGACGTGTACACCGCTCTGGGAGCTGAGGTGCGTAACTCCACTGACGTGCCTCACAAGTCGCCTCATTGCCTCTATGAACAGTGGTTGCTTACGTAGACTCGATTTCAGGGCGCACAGGATCACATCGACATGTGAATTGCTCAGAGGTTAGGATGCGCCAGTATATTGCCGCTTTGACAAGCTCCCTCATTTTGTAAATTTTGATTACTCGCCCACTTTTTCCTTCTGCTCGTCAATCTCCCATTCGCCTACGTCCTCTTTCTCCTCATCTCCTCCTCTTCCTTTCCTCGCCTCTCACCTTTCCCCCAAACCCCCTTTCCTCCCCTCTACCTACCTTCCCTCTCTCAGGTGACGTTCATCGAGGCCTTGGACATCATCATGCCGGGGTTCGACCCTGAGATTGGCAAGCTGGCGCAGAGGGTGCTCATCACCCCGCGCAGCATCGACTACCACACGGGCGTGCTCGCCAAGAAGGTGCGTGGTGTCGGAGGGTTGGGGGCGGTAATTTAGGTTGTTGGGCAAGAAGGTGCGCGGTGAGCGGGGAGGAGGAGAGGGTTTGTGAACCAGGAAGGTCAGTGGCGAAGGGTGGGAGGAGCCATGGTGAGTGGGGTTTGTTCTCTTTGGTTACCTTATCCCGTCTCTTTCGTCCCCTCTTTTCTGACCCTCATTCCGACCCCTCGATCGCCCCAGATCACCCCTGCTCGGGACGGCAAGCCAGTGCAGATCGAGCTGGTGGACACCAAGACGCGGGAGTACAAGGAAACGCTCGAGGTGAGTTCTGGGTAGAGAGGAGTGGAGAGGGGTAGAGAGGAGTAGAGATGAGATAAGGGAGGACGGCGAGGTGAACGCGTTAGCATGGAGCCGTTGAAGGCCAAGAGGAAAGAGTGGGCTGGGGGTGAGGTGAGGTGGCGGGGCTTAAAACAGGATTACACTGGGACTCAGAATTTGGGTCATGTGGAGAGAAAGGTGTGGAAGGGAGCGAGCCTGGGGAAAAGGGAGGGGACGAATGACTTTCAGTGAGGAAAATGAAGTGGGTGGGGATAGCTATTGGTATGGAAAGAAGGGCAGACTCGTGGGGAGGGAGTGGGGAGGGAAGGAGGACTAAGAGAATGCACGAGTCAAAGCTGATTTAACAAAGTTTGTGATTCCACACCTTGCTGATCTACCACCTAGACGGCCTTTTTTTGGGCAATACTGCCCTCTGACTGTCACAACCAAGGTTCAAAAATACGGTAAACGTAAATTACGGCTCGTAAATTATGGTCGTAATTTACGATGGTTTTGGCAAAAATACGGTCGTTTTTTAAATGGACATTTTTTGCGGAATTTTTTTTCCAGAAATTCCTAGAAAGCTTACAACGATGACAAGGCGACAACTTACTACACTACAGAATGGTGGTTTTTGCCCTGGTTTAACTTGGTGGTGTTGCGCTGGCGAATGGAATATGCAAAAGGGATGAGATGGAAGGGATGAAGATTGGACGAACGCTATTGGTTGGAATGGTTTTGCAGTGTCGAAATTGAGTTGAGTAGCGCATGCGGGCGAAAAAAAACGAACGGGCCACGAAACGACCCACCGACTTGGCGAAACGGGTAGACTTGTGTTATCCGTTCGCCAAATGTACAATTTGCCGCGTCGCACAAATTTGTACATTTGCGATTCGGCGAAATACACAAACGAGTGTGCGAATGGGCAACAAACCTGTTAAACTGTCACCAAAATGCACAATGTCCCGCCTCGAGATTTTGCTGACACTCGCGACTCGGGAAAAAAACACTCTCGAGTGGGTTTGGGGCCACAAAAATCTCACGAACAGGTTGACGGTTGGGAAATGTTGAAATTCGCTATACACAAACTCGGTTTCAAACTTTCGGTCGTAATTTACGACCGTATTTTTGAACCAACCTAATTTTGCAACGTCAAACCGTTTTTTACCGTAATTTACGACCGTAAATTACGATACCGTAATTTACGGTAAATTTTCAAAATTACGGTCGTATTTTTGAACCTTGGTCACAACCGCTCAGCACAGGTTGCAACACTTCACCCTCATCTCCCTCTCTTCCTTTCGTTCCCCCCAACTATTCTCTGTTCCGCATCCTCTTTCGGCCTCTTTCCTTCTCTCCCAGGTCGATGCGGCTCTGATTGCCACTGGCCGGGCGCCATTCACCAAGGGTCTTGGTCTTGAAAATGTGAGTGCGTTTATAGGTATTTTAGAAGTGCATATCACAGCCGTTGGATTGCAAGTGCATGTCCAAACACATCCCCTAACTCGGCATGCCCTCTTGAATCCATGACAATGTAAGCAACCTGTTGACCTCTCTAAATCTCCCTTTTCTGCTCTGCTTCCAACTCTTATCGTTGTCTCCTCGCAACCCTCCCCCAACTCTCTTTCCTCCTGTCTCCTTGATCCCTGATTCCCCTGTCCCCCAATCCACACTTCACCTTGCATGTATGTGTGAGCAGGTGAATGTTACCACAAACCGTGGGTTCGTGCCTGTGAATGAGACCATGCAAGTGCTCGACTCTGAGGGCAACGTGGTAAGCACCGAACTTGTGTACCATCTCAACTCATGTGGATTTTAATTCGACTCAAACGTGACAACAAACCGTGCTTCATGCCTGTGCATGAGACCATGCTAGTGCTGGACTTTGATGGCAATGTGGTGAGCACCCCACCCCATTTCCCATCCCATCCCTCCCACTCCATCCATCCATTCCATCGTACCCAATCTCACACCATCCCATCAAGTGTGCTTACTCCCTTATCATTCTCCCCTGACCCACAATGTTAGTGACGTTCTTTGTACCCAGGAACGAACCTTCTTCGAACCCTTCCCTCTTTCACCCCTCCATGATGAGTATAACGAGTTTTTTCCCGTCACCTCCCTCCATTCCAGATTCCCCACCTGTACTGCATTGGTGACGCGAACGGCAAGCTGATGCTGGCGCATGCGGCGAGTGCGCAGGGCATATCAGTGGTTGAGAACATAAAGGGCCACAGCAACGTGCTCAACCACCTCTCTGTGCCCGCTGCCTGCTTCACCCACCCCGAGATCAGCATGGTCGGCCTCACAGAGGTGAGTCAGAGCCAGGGGCGGAGGGGGGACGAAAAGGGAAGAAGGTCTGGGTTTTGAGACGTCTCAAGCCCTGGTGCATGCTCTTTTCAGCTAGGTTCACAGGGGTGTGAGAGGCAGGTCAGTAGGGGAAGGAAGTTTGGGTTCGAAACGTCTCAATGCCTGCACCACTCACCCCCGAGTCACCTGCTTTTTCTGTGCACCCTATTTTCCCCCCCTTGCACGCCACCAGCCCCAGGCACGCGAGAGGGCAGAAATAGAGGGCTTTGAAGTGAGTGTGGCCAAGACAAGCTTCAAGGCCAACTCCAAGGCGCTGGCAGAGAACGAGGCAGACGGCATGGCTAAGGTGGGTTATGTTCAGAAGGGTGGCGTAGTGGTGAGGGAAAGGTTTGGAGGAAATGATAGACAGGTTCAATTGGGGCAAGGGGAGTAGGGTTCCTATTTGACAAGACGAGCTTCAAGGCCAACTCCAAGGTGCTGGCAGAGAACGAGGCAGATGGCATGGCTAGGGTGGGGCCTTGGAAGGATGAATAATGAGGCACGGGAGCAACAGAGCTTGAATTCTCGGGTCTAGGGTGTATGACGCGGTGTAGGGTTAAGGGTAGAGTGATCTGGGTAGTTGGTTGGACCTGGGGCTGCACGCAGCTTTCCTCTCTCCGTTCTTCCTTCACCCCTCCCTCTCCTGCTGTATTGTCGTTCCTCGCTGCTCCCCCCTCAGATGATCTACCGCCCAGACACTGGGGAGATCCTGGGCGTGCACATTCTGGGGCTGCATGCAGCTGACCTGATTCACGAGGTCTCCAACGCCATGGCCACCGGCCAAACCCTCAATGTACGCACCGGCCACTTTACTATTATTATTATTATTTATTTTTTCACCTTGGTTTTACTCACCCCACTCCATTCAGGCCAGCAATTTTTTTACTGAACCCCATGCCATCCATGTCATTCTGTCTACGACGTGCACCATCCCATGCCATCCAATGCCATCACATGCCCACTCAAAATGTGCAGGACATCAAGTTCGCCGTCCATGCCCACCCAACTCTCTCCGAAGTCATTGATGAGCTTTACAAGAGCGCCAAGGTAGAGTCCATGTTATGTGAAATTTCTCATTCACAGTCCCATGGTGGTTGGGGTCACGTTTTTGCTCTTTCAGCATTAGGGTTGACTGTAACGCCTTCTCTCTTACTGTCTCCCTCCTGTTCTTCCTGTTTGCAGTATGGAGCGCATGCCTAAATGGAACTACAGAGCATCTAGGGCTCATGTTAACAATTATGTCGTGCTTCGAAGTACGTTAGGTCTCCTCTCCCCAATCAATATGGGGAGGCAATTAGTTGATCAGGAACCCCATAATCGTTCTAGATTATTTACCTTCGAAGTTTGCTGCAATGTATGATGAAAACATATACCTTACAAAATGGCATGTTTTGAAAACAGGTTAATGATAATTTTTTTGGCTGGTTCGAGTACCTCGTAGCGCAGATAATCCGAAGCGAGGATATCTGGAAATTGTAATGTGACGCCTGGTCAAATTCAGGATTTCCCAGCGAGGCAATGCAGCAGTAGTACGTAGACACTGCAGTTCTAGTATCTTGTAGCTCCTAGAAATAGTCAGTTGCCCTGGCAGCGGGTTGCCATTCGTGTAATCGCATCCGCGTTAGAACGCGCGTCGTAAGCCTCGACTCAGTAGACCAGAGTGGAAGTTGCCGATGCTCATACCTTCTGCATCTGCGAAATCTCGCGAATTCTCGAATCCATTAGTTTCCACGGTTCACACTGATACTGCAAGAGTCTGACCAGCTCCTGACGTCAGCATCGTTCCTCTCTCCGTCAGAAGTCCGTTCATGATTCACAGAGCACACGCAGACTGACATCCGTTGATCACGAGCCAATGGCGGAATCTCCCAAGTCGCCGAACGCGTGGTCACCTTCCCCTAAAAGGTACGACCGCTAATAGACCAAATCTTGACGTCAGATCATCCTGGTCATTAGTAGACTAGTAGTCTCAACCGCTTCATGCTTTAGCATTGTTCCCGTTTAATCACCGCGGTACCTTTTAATCACCGCGGTACCTTTAAGTTACCGCGCATTGACTCTATGTTAAATTCCGGTTGCGTTGTCACGCCGCGCGGTTCCTGCATGGCTGCTCTCTTGGCTTCCAACGTCGTTCCCAGACGCGAAGAGAAGTCTGTTAGACAAGTGCCCGGGTTGGCAGCAGGATCACAAGTGGAACAGGAGTAATTGGCAGCAGCAACGGTCAGAAATGAGACGAGTTTTGAGTCGACTCAAAACTCGTTCCAGGTGTTTCTAAGACAAATGGATCAGGATCATTTGGCAGCAGCAACGGTCGGAAATAAGACGAGTTTTGAGTCGACTCAGGATTCATCTCAGGTGTTCTGGGACGAGTGTATCAGGATCAGTTGGCAGCAGCAACGCTAAAGATATTCAAGACGTGCCATCCTTGTTTGCTGCTGTCCCTGTTTCCCCTCTCCGTGTCTCTCTTTTCCTAACAGTCCCCCCTCGGCCAACTCTCAAGGAAAGTTCCTCGGCGTGTTTGGGTCAGGAAACGCAGGCGGATCAGGAGTATCAGGAGGGGGACTGGGGGGACTGGGAGCGAATGGCAATGGCAGCAGTGGCGGTATCAGCAGCAGCGGGATGGCACCTGGAGAGATGGGAGGAGGCGGGGTGATGGGAGGAGGAGCGGGAGTGGTGGGGGAAGGAGTGGTGGGAGGGGATATTGGGGGCGATGGCGTACCGATGGGACCTCATGTGCACCATCACGTGACACCTGATGGACGGTGGGTATGCATGACCATGGATGATTATGTGAGGATCATGGATGACTATGTGAGGACCATGGCTCCTCAAGGGGCGATGGCACACCGATGGGACCTCATGTGCACCATCACGTGACGCCTGATAAACGGTTGGTATGCATGACCATGACATGTCTATGTGAGGACCATGGCATGACTATGTGAGGACCATGGCTCCTCAAGAGGCAATGACATGCAGATGGGATCACATGTGCACTATCACATGATTCCTGATGGACGATTATGGAAGGCGTGTGACAAGTCGATTTTTTAGTCGACTGGAGCTCTCTGAGAAATGTCTGAACAACGATGACACCTGATGGACGATTTTGGAAGATAGGTCGGTTTCTTTCGCTCATATCAACGTTCCCTATCCACCTCACATCACTCCACGTCACCTCTCTCCACCTCTTCTCCCCCCTCCTCCCATCCCATCCCATCCCATCCCAGTGTAGTCGCATATGAGACGGTACAAGACCGCCTGCTGAACGTGTTCCGCAAAGCCGCAGGCTACATCTGGTCCTTCTCGCACACCGTTGCGCGCGTCGATGTCGTCCGTCCCATCACCACCTCCCACCGCCGCCGCCGCTACTACGATAAGGATGACAATGGGAGGGGACCGGGCGGCATAAGCAGCAGCTACTTTGGCGCGAGGGATAGCTCGCCTGTGTGGCGGGCGAGGAGGCAGGGGGGGAGAGGGAGGAGGCCGGATGAGGACGAGGAGGGGGGGGTGATTCAGGGGATTAATCACGGGTTGTATGGGGAGGGGGCACGGCTGAAGCTGATGCAGATCTGGGACTTTCCGGATAAGGAGACTGGAAAGCCCAGGCTTCCGTATGGGCTCAACTTTGGAGGTGAGCTGAGCTTTCCTTGGGATGGTGTGCTGTTCTGCTCTTTGATGGCAAGTGTCATGGGGAGGGGGCGCGGCTGAAGCTGATGCAGAAATGGGACTTTCTGGATAAGGAGACTGGAAAGCCCAGGCTTCCATATGGGCTCAACTTTGGAGGTGAGGTTTTCAAGCGATGGCAGGATAATCTGCCATAGCATGATGATGAAATTGACTTGTCAGGGGGGTACCAATAACCTGACGCAGATTTGGGACTTTCAGGAGAAGGCGGCAGGAAGCATGGGGTACCGATGTGGGGACGCCGTACCCCATGTGTGTTTTTGAGACGTCTCAAAAACACCCTCTCTACACGAGGAAAGCATGGGGTACCGTACCGCTGTTGGGACGCCTTACCCCATGTGTGTCATGATGAGAAGGTGTAAGTGAGCCATGTGGTATCCTCGTGCGTGTCTGCCCACCTTGTGTCCTGTTTGAGCATTGTTACTCTTTTTCTAGTCCTCATTTTCCCTATGCCGTTGCACACCATGCATGCATTGCATGCATGCATATGCAAGTGCAGTGGGGGCGAATTACGAGGTGAACGGGAGTCGCCTGGAGCCAAAGCTGAGGATCCGAACCCCCCATGTGGCCCTGCACCTGCTTCCCGAGCCTGACATTGAGGTTCGGTGGAAGTGGAGGCTCGGCACCACCAACGTTGCTCTTGATGTTCGTTACACGTGAGTGAATCATTGAGTGGGTGAGTGAATGAGTAATTGAGCGAGCAAGTGAGTGAGTGAGTGAGTGAGTGAGTGAGTGAATGAGTATTTGAGTGAGCAAGTGAGTGAGTGAATGAGTGAGTGAGGATCTAGACATACGCTCCTTACTGACTGCTTCCCATCCCACCACTCCATCATGCCCCTGCATTCCCTCAGCTGCTTTTGAGGCTCCTCAAAAAGTCCTCTCTGCCTGCTCCCCATCCCACCTCTCCATCATGCCCATGCGTTCCCTTAACTGTTTCTGAGGACTTCGCATTTCGAGTGCGGATGTCAGTGAGACTCCTCAACCCCAAATCACAAATGAACTTGTTACTCATAGCTTATCACCATGCCCTCTCCCCATCCCACGTCTCCCAACCCCACCTACGCAGCCTGCCTTTGCGCTCCTTCGACCGCTTCTGGGATCGGGCAGCCGGAGTGGGGATGTCAGTGAACCTAATCAATCAAAGAGTACATTTGAGATCTGAGCATGTGATTCATGGCATATCACCTTCCCCCTCTCTCCCCATGCCACCTACGCAGCCTGCCTCTGCGCTCCTTTGACCACTTCTGGGATCGGGCAGCCGGAGTGGGGATGTCAGTGTGTCATTGAAACCCAAAGCACATATGAACATGTGACTCATAGCATATCACTGTGCCCTCTCTCTCTCATTCCTCGTCTCACCTCTGCAGCCTGCCTCTGCGTTCCTTTGACCGCTTCTGGGATCGGGCTGCCGGAGTGGGGCTGTCAGTGAACCTCTTCAACCCCATTGGCACGGGATTTCACCTCTCCCCCGGTGGTATGTTCTGACCCTGTAACACCACATAGCATCGCACACTATCTCGCAACATTTCACAGCTGGAGCGGGGCTGTCAGTGAACCTCTTCAACCTACAGGCTTCCATCTCTCCCCTGCCAGTATGTTTTGAGGCATCTCAGATCTTGAAGTATCTCACATAGTTTCATATAATTTCACATAATTTTACATAATCTCACAGAATCTCACACGGTCTCACAGCATCTCACACAACCATCTTGTTCAAAACTCCTTGGCATCTCACGCCGCCTTGTTCACAGCCCCTTGGCCTATCTCATGCCGCTTTGCCCCATTCGGTGCTTCAGGATTGGAGTTTGACGAGCAGGTGGTTAAGTTAGGCAAGCACACGAAGCTTCGTCTGGCCGCAACGTTCATGTTTCCAAAACACCTGCCTTTGGAGGAAGACGAAGATCCAATCCGGGTGCGCGTCAACCGATTAGGAATCAAGACACGGCTAGCATGACGAAATGGATTCGATAGGAGAATATGAATTTGCATAGATTTAGGTAAGTAGCAGTAGTTAGGGACTGACTCTTGATTTGTGCCTCTATCCTATAGAACATGCTCTAGAATGTATAGAGCCCGTGAACTCTACTTTAGACTATAGTACAAGTGATTCAGTGGGATTTAGAATGAAGAGAGAAATGCGTCCGGCTGTAGCGCGAACGCGCAGGAGCTTTCGGGGTTGCGAGGAACGCTCGGTGGCAGACCTGACCTGTCCACCTGCCCCGAAGCACGTCTGTCAGGTCGGTGTCGCTGGCGGGAAAACAGCAGGCCAACCGCAAACGAGCGAAGGTTGTTCGGGCAGCCACACGGAAATTTTCACAAGCAATAGCACCTCAGAGTTTGTTTGGGCAGGTTAGTTCCGCTTCTTCGCGTCAACCTCGAGATTCTCCTGGCCCTAGTCTCTGGCGGGAAAATGGCTGGGCAGGGATGGAGAAGAGGAAGAGAAATCTGTGCGGTCATCGCACTGTGCCATGCCATAGTGGTTGTTGCAGAAACACAAGCAGGCGAAAGCAGGCTGATCCAGATTCTTTCTGACAACTTTCTGCAACAGATGATCAGTAAAACCCAAGAGATGTCTGAGAAACGCAGATATTCAGTTTCAGTGGACGAGGTTAGCAAGAGAGTTACACGTTGGTTCGAGATCCATGTCCGATCCCATCAGTTCTTGCCGATCAGCAGTGATTATTTGAATTCATAAGAGGGCAAACTTGCGTTTTTGGCCGCGTCCGTTTCCAAGAAAGAAGCGACCTGTTTGTTTTCGTGGTCTCTACCCCTGCAATCCTTGCGAAGCTCAAGTGCTAAGTCAGACATTCGTTAAGAATCCGAAAAAAACACTTACTGTTCTAAGGTCATACCAAATCTTCTTCATTCAATCGTACTCAGCACATCAGATCTCACTTCTCAGTATCGTACCTTCCAGTAACATTTCGCCATGTCGGGTCGCAGCAAATTCACGAGCGTCAATCTCAACAGCTCCTTCGGGAGGCAGAGCTCATCTCAGTCGCAATCCGGTGCCGGGCAAACCACAGCCGTCGGATCCAGATTCGGTCGGACAGGATCGTTCGGGAGCATGATGGTGCTGGGGAAGGTCGCAACTCCCAGCGCGTTAGGGGCCAGCAAGAGCGGGAAGCTGGTCGTGCCGAAGCCGGTTAACCTTCCGTCGCTGCGACGGGAGCACGCGGGCAACGATCCGTCCGTCTCGCTTGTTCCCGCGAGCAGCACAGTCTCAGGATGGCAGAGACCGCTAGGAGGGAAGCCGCAAGGAGAAGGGACGTCTGCAGCTACTAATTCATTATCAGGATCTTCATCAGCATCAGCGACAGCAGCAACAGCAGCAGCGGCAGCAGCAGCAGCATCAACAGCAGGAGTATCAGCTGCAGTTCGTTCGTCAGGTGCGACACACGAGGCGCGACGGTGCGTCTCGCTCTCTCCTCCTCCTCAAGGTTTCGACTTCCCGCCGATTTCAGCAGCAGGAACAGCAGCAGCAGCAGCGGTCTCTGGAGCCGAGCCGAATGGCGCCTCCTCGGCGCACCGACCTGGGGTGTACCAACCACCAGGCTCACGTGGCGGTAGCAGTGCCACGTCAGCCTCCACGTCAGCTGTTTCGGCAGTTGGCAGCACCGGGGTTGTTTTACGTGGGGAGGATTTCCCCTCATTGGATGATGCGACAAAGAAGCCAGCAAGCGGTGTTACGGCGAGCGTCGGACGCGGTAAGGAGCAACAGGGCAAGAAGAAGACGAAGGCATTAGAGGCTAATAACGGGGATGAGCTGGCGCGATCGGCGCAGGAGCGCGGGGGAGGGGACGAGGCAGGTCGGGCGACGGGACGGTCCCAGGGTAACGATGCGGCGACGAAACGGGTTACCAGTGGGCGATGGGGTGACGAAGAATCGGATCACGAGCAGAACGAACGAGATCCTCTGTCCGGATCACAGCCTAACAAGGCGCCGGATTATATTGCCAGAGACCAAGGAGGCGAGGCTTCTGGCGATTCCGCTACTTTTGGTGGAGATAGGATGGACAGACATCCCCGCTATAAGGAGAACGAGAGACCGACCAGGCATGGCGATGGCATGCTTCCGCCGAATCGGTTCGGTCCGCCACCCGGGGGAGGCTTCCGCCGACCTTCCCCCCCGCGCAGAGCATGGGCGGACGATGAGCGGGACCTTGCGCCACCCCAACCCTATCCGCCGCCAGGGGGGAGAATGCCTTTCCCGCACAGATTTGACGGTCCGAGGGGTCACTTCGACGGTTATGGTCCCCCCATGGGTGGAGATCCGGGGGGGTTTCATGCTAACGGATGGGATTCTAGAGAGGGCTTCCGCGATTATGGGCCGAGAAATGGCGCCAGGGAGTGGCACGGGGATCCGCGGCACGGCGAGGCGGCCATGTGGCGCAGGGAGGACGCGCACGGATGGGCGGAACGGCCTCCAGCGGGGAGAGGCGGAAGAGGGCCGGGACCAGGGCCCCCAGGACCCCCAGGCCCCCCGGGTCCGCCGGGTCCGCCAGGCCCCCCGCCCCACCCAGGCCTCCCAGGTCCCCCGGGTCCCCCAGATCCCCGAGGCCCCCTGGGACAAGCGGGGCGGCCAGGGCCGTTAGGTCCGCCGGGGCCGCCGGGACTGCTAGGGGCGCCGGGGTCAGGAGCAGCAGGGGCCCCGCCAGGGCCGCCTTTCCCGGGTGAGTATGAGCGGTACGGCCCAATGGGGGATGGGGGGAGAGGCAGAGGGGGTAGTGGCGGTGGGTACGGTCCGAGGGGGGAATTTGCCAGGGGTTTCGGGCCAGGCCAGGGTTTTGGCCCCGGTCAGGGTTTTGGACCCAGTCAGGGGTTTGGTCCTGGTCAGGGTTTTCCGCCGGGTCAGGGTTTCAGGCCGAATAGGGAAGGAGGAGGGAGGGGCATGGGCCCGGAAGTTTTTGCCCATGGGCCGAGGCTGGAATTGCAGTCCCTGCCACGTGTAGGGGTTGAACCTCCGCCTAGCCTTGGGCTTGGTATGCTGGGGCAGCTGAGGCGAAAGAAATTGGAGGGCGAGGGTGGGCGGTCGGAGTTTCGAGATGTGGAAAGAGAGCGGTTTGAAGCGGAGCTAGAGATGCTGCAGTCGCAGAAAGATAAGGAGAAGGTGAGGAAGGAGGAGCAGGAGCAGCGGACGGCGGAGGTGGCGAGGCAGCAGCAGGAGGAGGCGGTGAGGAGGGAAAGGGAGGAGGAGGAGAAGAGGCGTAGGGTGGAGGAAGGGGAGAGAGAGGCGGCGAGGAGGGTTGCGGTGGAGGAGGAGGAGGCGGTGAGACGGGTGGAGGAGGAGAGGAGGAGAGTGCAGGAGGAGAAGCGGAAGATTCAGGAGGAGGAGGAGAGGAGGAAGGAGAATGCGAGGAGGAAGTTGGCTGAGTTGGAGGAGCGCATTGCAAGGAGGAAGGCTGAGGAGGAGGAGAGGAAGAGAAGGGAGGAGGGGAAGGAGGAGGAGGGGAAAGGGGGGGAGGAGGGAAAGGGAGCAGAGGAGCAGTGTGGGGCGCTGATTGGTGCTGGGCTGGAGCAGCAGGGTGGGGCCTCGGTGAGTGCGGCGGAGTTGGGTCTTGAGGAAAAGAGTGCGGTGCTTGGGGAGGGGCGAGAACATGCGGTGGAGATGCAGGGGCAGGAGCAGGGGCAGGAGCAGGGGCTTGGGCAGAATGGGCAGATTGAGCAACAAGGAAAAGTCGCACCAGAATGTTCTCAAGAGGAAGGAGCTGCATTTGGGGCTAAGCCTGCTGATCGTGATGGCGGCAGCATCCAGGAAACTTCAGAGTCAACTCAAGAGGCTGGTGGTGAGGCTGAGAGCGGTCAAGAGATTGCAGATAAGGACGAGAAGAATGGAATTGTTGCTGACGTGGCAAAAGGTGACACGTGGGCGGATCGCGAGGGGGTTTGTGGTGAGGAGAAAGCGATAGGGGGCGAAGTGGGAGGGGTGGGTGGGGAGAGGTTTCAAGAGGAGATGAATCAGGTCGGGGGAGAGGGAGGAAGAGGGGTTGAGGCAGGGGAAGGAGGCGACTCCCAGCTGAACCTGCACAAAGCACAGCAGCAGGTGCAGCAGAAGGAGCACCAGGAGCTGCAGCAGCAGCAGCAGCAGCAGCAGCAGCAGCAGCAGCAGCAGCAGCAGCAGCAGCAGCAGCAGCAGCAGCAGCAGCAGCAGCAGCAGCAGCAGCAGCAGCAGAAGCAAGAGGAGCAGCAGAAGCAGCAGGTGGGGCCTTTGGCTGGGTCCGCCCCTGTCCCATCACTCTATCACGTGAGTGCGGATGCGAGGCAGAAAGGCATGGGCGAGGGACAGCAAGACGCGAGTCAGCAAGGCAACCACACAAGTACTCAGCGGCTCTTTGACCCTAGTGTTCGCACGGAAGGGCCTTCGGCTGGGAAGTATGCGGGTGGTGAGACTCATATGAAAGGCGAAGGCTCAGACCGGGCCGGGTTTGGGTTTTCGCCGTGGAATCAGCATCAGCTGCAGCAGTACCAGCAGCAGCAGCAGCAGCAGCAGCAGCAGCAGCAGCAGCAGCAGCAGCAGCAGCAGCAGCAGCAGCAGCAGCAGCAGCACCAGGTGCAGGGACTTTCGTTTCCTGCGTATGGGTTTCCTGGCCCAGGCCCTCTCTTGCGCTCCCATCAGTTCGCCCCACCGTACCCCCACTTCCCTGCGATGCAGCAGCAGCATATGCACCCCCACCCCTTCCACCAGCCATTCCCGGGGCAGCAGCAGCAACAACAGCAACAGCAGCAGCAGCAGCAGCAGCAACAGCAGCAGCAGCAACAGCACCAGCAGCAACAGCACCAGCAGCACCAGCAACAGCAGCACCAGCACCAGCAGCACCAGCAGCAGCAGCAGCAGCAGCAGCAGCAGCAGCAGCAGCAGCAGCAGCAGCAGCAGCCACCGTTGCTGCACCGGCCGCCTGGGCTTGCTCCTGGGTTTCTCGCCCATGGGAATTCTGGCCGCGGCTTTGCCTCATTTTCTGACAATACCCCAGCAGTGGGAGCAGTGGGGCAAGCGGGGCCAGTAAATTCAGTGGGTACTGTGAATTCAGTTTCAGCTGGAGGAGCAGCAGGGGATGGAGCAGGAGGAAGAGGAGCAGCAGGAGGAGGAAGGGAAAGTGGTGGTGTGGCAGCGGGTAGGGCGGGGCACCAAAGGAAGGACGAGTTTGGAGGGAGAGAAATTGGTGGTGGGAGAGAGGCAGGCAGTGGAAAAGAGATGGACAGTCAGGGACAGAAACAGTTCGCAGAGATTGGGAATGGTGGTGGGGTGGTGGTGAGGGACAGTCGATGGGGAGAGTCTGGGTCCGGGCAGTATATGGAATGGAAAAGGATAGGCCCTGAACCTGCTCCCGGTATTTTTCTTGGGCAGGCTCGGCAGCCTGGAGCAGAGCAGTGGCAGGGGCGGGCTGGTTTCGGGCAGGAGGAAATTTCTGGAGGATCAGGACGGGCAGAAGGGCGAAATTGGGCAAATCAACTGAATGGAGTAGGAGGGAGGGATGGGCATGAGAGGAGGGGAGAGATGGGGCAGCAGATATGCAATTTAGGGTTGCAGGTGGGGAAGGTTGAGGGAGAGGGGAGGGCAGAGGGGAGGGAGAGGGGAGGGATGGGGGGGATGGGTGTGGAGCATGACTCGGAAATGAGTGAATCTGAGAGTCTTCCTGCTGATGTGGTGAATGAATTGGGGGCGCTGCTGTCAGATCGAGACGAGGGTATGTCTGATAGAGAGGAGGGACTCCTGGGTGATAATGAGCGGGAGGTGATAGGTGGAGAAGAGAAGGAGAAGATGGGGGGAAACGAAGGACCTGATTCTGTTCAAAATGAGGGAGCGGTGGGTGATCAGGGAATTGTGGGTGGTAAGGGAGGGGTGGAAGCGGAGGGGAAGCAGCTTTCAGTGAGAGATGGAGAGAGGGCAAGTGGGGTTGAAGAAAGTGGGAGCGGGACTGCCCCTGCTGCTGCATCTGCTACACTGGCTGCACCTGCTGCTGCATCTGCTGCTAGTGCTGCTTCCAAGCCAATCCTCCCGTCCCTGATGCTTTCTTCTGGAGCCCCTTTTGTCATTCAAATTGGTTCTGTACCTCTCACTGTTGGCGGTCCTGCCCAGCTGTCCGGGCAGAGTGAAACTTCTGGAGCGTGCCCTGTGCCGATGTTTCAGTTCGGGCAGATTGGGGTGCCGGCATCAGTGTCACCTCCTCTGCATGCCGGTGGTCGACCCACTGGGTCTGATGTTTCAGGGATAAGCACGCAAAGAGACATGCCACAGCAGCCGCCACTGAACCAGCAGCAGCAACCACCAAAGCAGCAGCAGCTGCCACCACCAAACCAGCAGCAACAGCAGCAGCAGAAGAGTGAGGGAGCAGCTGATCAGGTAGCTTCGAGGAAGGAGGTACCTGTGCAAAGAGTGGTGGCACTAGAGCCGTTGCTGCCCCTTCCAGTTTCAGCGGCTGTTCCTGGCAGTGGTGGGGCAGCAGCAGCTGCACTGCCAGCAGCAGCAGGATCGACAGCGGCAGCACGAGTAGGAGCAGGAGTAGGAGAAGGAGCAGGAGCAGGAGCAGGTGGGGCAGCAGGAGCAGCAGCACCAGGAGCAGTGGTGGTGGGAGGGACGGTAGGCGGGGAGCAGAAGGATGGTGCTGGTGCAGGTGTGATGGTGGCTGATCGCAGGCAAGCAGTGGGGCGGGGAGGGGGGGTTCAGAGGAAGGGGAAGGAGCAGCTGAGGCAGGGAGGATTCGAGGGAGGTAGGATTGCGGTAGAGGCTGAAGGAGACGTTTTGGCGATAGCTGCATCGGCAGCAGCAACACAACCAGCAGCAGCTGCAGCTGCAGCTGCGGCAGCAGCAATAGTGGGGCCGGTTGTAGGGGTGAGCAGTGGTAAGGGGGCAAGGGGAGGAAGGGGAGCGAGGGGTGGTCATGCAGGGGGGCAGGTTGGGCAGGTGCAAGGGCAGGCACAAGGGCAGGCACAAGGGCAGGCACAAGGGCAAGTACAAGCAATCTCAGCCCAAGGCCGTGGCAAAGGCAGGGGTGTGGTTACTACTGCCCCTTCTGTGCCTGGAGTGACTGCTCGATCCGGACTTGCAGCCTCGGTTGCTGGTGCGGTAAATGGTCCGGTAGCTGGCTCGGTGACAGGTGCGGCAGCTGGTCCGGTGACAGGTTCGGCGGCAGCTCCGGGGCCTGGTTCGGCAGCAGGCACGACTCCTGCTTGGTTTGTTGCTCAGGGCGTGAGGGTTCAGGAGGCGAGGGTAGGACAGTATCTTGAGGTGCAAGGAGCAGGGTATTCTGAGATTCGAGGGAGTGATGGTGTGGTGGTGAGGACGAGGATTGGAGGAAGGGGAGGAGGCGGGGATAGGAGGAGGGGTGGCGGAAGGGGGGGAAGGGGAGATGTGGTGGGGAGGCAGGTGGGGGAGAGAGGAGGGAAGGGAGGAGAGAGTGGGGGGAAGAGAGAGGAAGTGGGTGTGAGAGTACAGGGTGTGAGTGTAGTGCAGGGTGATAGTAAGGGAGTGAGCAGGGACCGTAATGACGCTCAGGTGAAGCAGGCAGCTGTAGCTGAAATTGTGGCCAAAATTGTTGCTGAAAGTGCAACTGTGGCTGAAACCTCAGCTGGAACTAAGGCTGAAAGTGTAGCTGAAACCGTTGCTGAAGCTGCAGATGCTGCTGCTGATGGTGCAAGTGGGTTGGTGCAGCCAGGGTCCTCACCAGGGGTGACTGCTGGGCCTGCTAAAGGAACAGAGCATCTGGCAGGTTCCGAGAGTGAAATGGCTTCAGGTTCTTCTTCAGGTATTTTTTCAGGTGGTTCAGACAGTGGAGTGTCAGAGGTGGAAGGGGCTTATGAGAGTGCGGAGGGGTCTGAAGGGGGGGAGGAGAGAGGGGAGCATGAGGTTGGGAGAACAGAAGAGAGGGAGCAGCAAGAGAAGGAGCTGAAACAGGAAGGCAAAGAAGAAAAGGGGGCGGCGAATGGGCAAAGGGAGGGGGAGGTGACAGGAAGCTCGGACTCACAGCTCAACTCGAAGGGGGGAAATTCAGTAGTCAGTGCAAACGGGGATGGGATTCAGCAATCACAGCCCGTTTCAGGTGACGGAGACAAGCAGAAGCAGCAGCAGTCGAAGCGAGCAGTGAGCATTTGTCGGCCCTTCTCCATGTTCCCAACCGCCTTCCTCTCCTCCTTGGGGTTCCTCTCTGGCGCCTCCTCCTCCGCCTCCTCCCCTTCCTCCACCTCTCCTCCCGCAGGGAAAACGTCAGCAGAGGCCCCATCGAAAGCTGTATCCCAGGGACCAAGTAATGCATCAGTGCAAGCCCCAGAAGGATCAGAAGGACCAGGAGAAAGAGCAGGGCCGTCGGTGGGGGATAAGTCACAGGCAGCCACAGCAACAGATGATGATTCTGGTGCTGCACCTGCTGGTGCTGCTGGTCTGAGTGTGGGTGTGTCGCCTACAGCAACTAAAGCAGCAGCAGCAACAGCAGCAACAGCAGTAGCTGCAGAAGGCGCAGTGGAATCTGCATCTGGGAAGGCTGCTGCGGGTGGTTCTTCTCCAGCTGTTTCAGCAGGAGGCTCCCAAGTGGAGCCCCGCGCAGGGTATAGGGGCAGAGAGAGGAAGGGGAAGAATTCGGGTGGGGGGAAGGAAGGGGCGGGAGGGGGGAGGACTGGGCAGCAGGGCAGCAAGCAGCGGGCAGGCGTGAGGACAGAGGCTCCTGAAGCTGGATCTGGTGCTGGCGGCAGCAAGAGTGGTGGAAGCAAGGAGGAGAGAAGAGAAACGGGTCATGGGCATACGAAGCTTGACTGGCTGGTCTCAAGGCTGGAGAATCTAGGGGATTCGGAGGTGCCGCTGGGAGGAGGGATAGTGAAGGTTTTTGAACAGGTTGGGGTCGAGCATGGGGAGGGGGAGGATGATGGGGGGTTTGTTACTGTGCAGTCGAAACGGGGGCGGAGGGAGCAGCGGGAGAGGGAGCAGAGGGAGAGGGAGCGAGAGGAGAGGGAGAGGGCGAGGGAGAAGGAGAAGGAGAGGGAAAGGGAGAGGGAGAAGGAGAGGGAGAAGGAGAGGGAGAGAGAGCGGGAGGCAAAGGCTCGAAGGCGGGAGCAACGTGTAAGTGCAATAGCATGTGCTGCACTTGCAGCCTCATATAGGGTACTTATCCTAGCTCTGCCAGTATCGCTTTGCTTCTCTTCCTTTTCTGCTCTCCTCCCTCCCCTCTCTCCCCCTTCTTTTCCTGGTATGTAATGCTATGCTCCTGTTTCCGTTTTCTTGAATTCTGAATGTGTTTTACTGCAGATGAAGGAACAGCAGCAGCAGCAGCAGCAGCAGCAGCAGCAGCAGCAGCAGCAGCAGCAGAAGCGCAAACACCCAGTCAATGCTGGGGTTGGTGTGACCCTCCCTGCTACAACGGCTGCTACAGCTTCGGTTGAAACTGCAGTCATGGTTTCTATTGCTGCTGCTGCTGCTGGTGATGAGCAGGTAAGCTTATCAGCCTTCCTTTTTCAAGCCTGCATGTTTGCAAGACCACATAAATTGTCCTGCCTCCTTGACCGGAACATGTGTTTCCGTCCTCTCCCGTTGTCCTGAACATGCTATTTTGTCCTCTCTTTTTTTTCTTTTCTTTTTTTCTTGTGCAGATTCCTCCTCATCTTCCCGCCCCTGAGCCTGTGAAAGCCACTCCTGCATTGCTTTCTGCAACTGCATCAAGAGCTATCCCTGTCACGCATGCTGTGCCAGCTGTGGCACCCCCTCCCATGATACTTGTCACTCCTCCCATGGCTGCTCCGGTGGCTGCTTCAGTGGTGGTTGCTTCGGCGGTTGCTCCGGTGACTGTTCCAGTGCAACCCCAGCAGACGCACCAGCAGCAGCAACAGAATAGCGAAGAGCAGCAGAAACAGCAGCAGCAGCTGCAGCAGCCGCAGCAACAGGAGCAGGGAGAGCAGGGAAGGGGGGAGCAAGGAGAGCAGGCGCAGAGGAAGGGGCAGCAGAAGCAGAGCCGGCAGAGGGGCAGCAGGGGAGGTAAGGGCGACAGGGCAGGGAAGCAGCGTCAGGAATGGCGTGTGGCTGGAGTTGCTGCTGTGGGTTGTGATCAGCTGCCAGCTCAGCAGCAGCCAGCTCAGCAGCAGCCAGCTCAACAGCAGCCGGCACAGCAGCAGCCATCTCAGCAGCAGGTGCAGGAGCAACCAGAGGAGCTGCTGCAGCAGGAACGTGAAGGACAGGGGTTGGAGGAACAGCAGCCACAGACAGGACAGCAGCAACAGCAGCAGCAGCAGCAGCAGCAGCCGCAGCAGCCGCTGCAGCAACAGGAACAACAGAAGCAGGTGCAGGAGCAGCAGCAAGAGGAGCAGGAGCAACAAGAGCAGCAGCACAAGAAAGACGAGGAGCAGCACAAGGCAAGGGTTGAAGTAGGTGCGGTGCCGCAACAGCTGAACCAGCATCAGCAGCATCATCAGCCGCTGCTGCAACAGCAGCATGACCAGGGGCAACAGCAGGAGCAGGAGCAGGGACAGCAGCAGGAGCAGCCGCAGAAGCAGCAGCAGGAGGAGGGGCAGCAGCAGCAGCAGCAGGAGGGGCAGCAGTTGGGATCAGCCCCAGGTGATGGGTTCAGTCCTGCTAATGCCATGCCCCCCTTTCCTGTAGCACCAGGAGCTCTGCCCGCTGCTGGCGCCCCTAGCTTCCACCCCGTGCATGTGTTCCCAGGCATGCTACCCCATCAGGCCATGGTGAACCCGCAGGGTATGGTGAACAATCAAGGTATGGTCAACTATCAGGGCATGATGGCACATCAAGGGATGGTGCCCCATCAGCCCGTGTCCCATTTCCCCATGCCCCAGCTGCATGCAATTCCACATGTGGCCCATGGTATGCCTGGCCATGCCATGCCAAACCATGCCATGCACCCTACTCATGCCACGCCAAACCATGCCATCCACTCGGGTCCTCCCATGATGCTCTTTCCTGGGCCTCCTTTTCCCAACGGGCAGTTCGGGCAGGTGGGTCAGCCCATGCAAGCAGGCATTCCCCAGTCAAATTTTGGGCCGGTTGGAGGAGCGGGGCAGGAAGGATTGGGGCAGGTAGGTATGGGGCAGGTAGGAGTGGGGCAGGCAGGTATGGGTTTTCCTATGTCACAGTATGGCCAAGGGGTGTATAATGTGAGTGCGAGCACCCAAACGTACATGGAGCATCAGCAGCAGCAGCAGCAGCAGCAACCAACGCAGAAGAAAGAGGAGGGAAACAGCCAGAAAGGCAGGCAGAGGCAGAAGCAGCAGCACAAGCAGCAGCAGGGAGGTGTGGGCGAAAGGGGAAACCAGTCAGTTAATCAGTCTCAGTCGCAGACTGATGCGTCGCGCTCGCGATTTGAAGTGCCTGGCAGCATGGGTCGTGCTCGTGGTGGTGTTGTTCCCCCACCGCGGTTTCAGCAGCAGCAGAGTCAGCAGCAGCGGCAGCAGCAGGCGCAGGGGCATACGCAACAGCAGTGGCAGCAGCAGCAACGCTACATGCAGCAACAGCAGCAGCAGCAGCAGCAGAGCGTGAATGATGGTTCTTCAGTGACGGTGCCCGGTCAGCAGCCACCTCGGTCACAGGTAGTGTTCCCTGCTTCACCTGCCTTTGCCTCTTGTGTTTGGAATTTTTTTTTTTGGTAGCATTCCCGCTTCACCTGCCTTTACCACTTCTTATGCAAATACTAGAAAATGTAGTGTTCCCTGCTTCACCTGGTTTGCCTCTTACCGCCGCCGTTCATTCATCATTCCTCTCCACGCTCCCAATTCCCTGCAGATCTCACAACAGCAGCCCTTACAGCAGCAGTCCATGCCTTACCTCTGGCCACACCTTCCCCAGTTTCCACCTCCCCCAGTAGGCCCTGCACCCCCCCTTCCCCCCATGGGTCACTCCCTGCTCCTGTTCCCTCCGCCCGCTCTGCTCTCCTCTCAACACCCCCAACCCCAGCCAACTCAACAAACTCTCTCACCAGCGCCGCCCCTGCTTTCCGATACCAGCGCTCCAGGTTCGGAGCTAGGCTTAGGGAAAGGTAGCAGGGGGGAGAGCGAGAAGATAGGGGAGGGAAGCTCGGTGAAGGAAAGCGGGGAAGCTGCTGCTGCTGCTGGTGTTGGCGACGGTGTTGACAAAACAGATGCTGCTGTTGCAGCAACGGCAGGTGACAGCACTGCTGCTTCTGCTACCATTACTGCTCCTCCTTCTGAATCTTCTCACAATGCCGCCGCCACCAGCGCGATTGACGATCACCGGTTCCCAGAGACGCTGGGAGATGGGGACACCACGTTGACTTCTTTGACTGCCTTGACTCCAGCCACCGCACTCAGCTCCTCTGCACCGCAGCCAACTGCTCACAACCTCTCCTCTCGGCCTCTGCTGCACTTGCACGCCCAGCATGCCCTGCCTCCCCTGCAGCCTGGTGCTTACCGTGGGCCTGTGCTTGGTGTGCCAGGGCTGCAGCAGTCTGGAGTGGTGGTGCAAGGGAGCATGGCAGGAGCACAGACAGCACCACAGTCAATGGCACAGTCAGCAGCATCACAGTCAGCAGGATTGGGGATGGTAGGAGCGGGTGGTTTGCCTGTTCCTCTTCCCAACGTCTACCTTTCACAGCTTGGGCCTGTACCTGTAGGAATGGCAGGAGGTCTGGCAGGAGGAATGGCAGGAGGAATGGCAGCCTCACAGCAGTATGGAAATAGGTTCGGAGGAGGCTCGGACCAAGGCATGGGCTACTACCAAGGCAGGCCTGCTGGCCCGGGTGGGAACAAGAGGCGGCCTCGCCAGCCGCCGAGGCTCACCCGAGCCTCCGGCGGAGGTTCGGGAGGAGATGGTCTGGTTGGTAACCAGCAGGGTAGTGTGATATCTGTCAATCAGCCAAGTCTGAATGGACAGGGGGGTTTGATCCCACACCAGCATGGCTACTCTGGGTAGCGAAGGTAATGCACAGGGGAGCGTATGGGTGTGGTGGTAAGGGAGTAATGGGGGGGAACAGGAGCAGGGCTGATGGGTGGGTACTGTGGGGAGGGGAGAGGCATGGATGCATTGGAATTGTGGGGAATGAGAGGCAGGCAGTAGCATGAGAAAGCTGCAAAACCCCAGCACGTGTTGTTTTGTTTTCTGGGCAGCTCAGCTTAAGGTTGGACCTACCTAGTTTATGGGTTGACTTGTTTGGCTGCATGATTGCTTTGATTTGATTCTTGATTCCGGTTTGGTGTTAGGCTAGGTTGATTTCCTAAGAGTTTCCCTAAAATTGCACATCAGTGTGTGCCAGGATGGAACATGAGGTGACTTGTGCAGTGCAGAAGTGATGGTATGCGAGATGTGTAGTGTTTGTAGTATTGAGGGTTCTAATTTTCCCCATTTACTTCCTACCTTCATTTTGTAGCTCGTAAGGTACTTTGTTTGTGCGGGTTTTCTTTTCCGTGCACTGTAGTATGCGAGTGAGTTACGTTGGGTTTGGGTTTTACTCTGATCGGCAATCTCAGGGCACACGCTGTGGTGATCACGTCACGGTTCTCTCATATCGCGATTTTCTGACATTCTGGTCCTTTTCCTGACACCTGCGAGGGTGGCACCGCGATCGAGTCCTCCTACTTATTCTTGAAGTGAATAACCTGCACTGCTTCCCTCTTCGACGTTAGCTCCAATGGCTCCACCAGCCACCGCGAAAGCTTCCAGTGAGGTGTGTGATTATCGTTATCGTTCCGACCGACTAGATACTAACTTATGATCCCGTCCGACCAGATTCCGGCGTAGTTGCAATGACTACTCCTCGCCATGCCTAATCCTTGTGCAATCAATGTCCTCTCCCAGATCGCGCGAATGTCGGCATATTGCGATGGAATAGGTTCTTTGTAACCTCATCTTAGGAACGGCATCCCGGCTCTAATAGTTACAAAAGCTACTAGCATGGTTTTCGAGTCGTTACAAAAAGTTTCGACTCGTCTTTAAAGTGACGTCTTCCTAGGGACGATATCGTAGTCTCGTACGTGGGGAAATCCAGCAGGGTTTCTTGAACCCACTGACTCGCGCGGTTCGACGAGTGTCGCTTCTAGCCTAGAAAAGGAATTCGAAATTCTTTAGACTGCGAGTATTCGATGTTCGCGGCGACGGCTTAGAGTCGTTTCGTGAGTCAAGCAGCCAACGCCTTTCACACGATCACTCGTTAACCCGATTCACCTGATTGCTCTTAGATATGCTCACCAGATTCGGTCAAGGAGCCAGCGCTGATCACACGATCACTTGCTCAGCCTTAGATACGCTTACAACATTCTTTCCTTGTTGATGCGTCTTGCCATCTCCCATTCTAATCCGATGGGGCCTTTCCCGTTTGATACTTCAACCCCATTATTTCTGAGAAGCATCTTTCAGGCAGCACGAATTCGTTCATTCGCCGCAAACGCGTCTCCCCACCATCCCCCACTTCCCCTTCTGCATCTCGTCTCACCTCTCCCCCTTCACAGGCTCAGCCGCAGGAGGGAGCGAAGAGCCACGTGCGGAGGGACCTGCTGCTGCAGATTCAGGCAGCCGTGCAGAAGCAGTGGGAGGAGGAGAAGGTGTTCGAGGCCACGGCCAAGGAGGGAGCAGCTGCGGGGTCTGGCCCGCGTGATGATCGCTTCTTTGGCAACTTCCCCTACCCCTACATGAATGGGCTGCTGCATCTGGGTCACGCGTTCACCCTCTCCAAGGTGAGACTGAGTCACCGAGGCCTGTGTTACACAGCTGCGGGGTCTGGCCCGAGGGATGACCGCTTCTTTGGCAACTTCCCCTACCCCTACATGAACGGCCTGCTGCACCTGGGCCATGCCTTCACTCGTTCCAAGGTGAGAAAAACTGCTCTGCACAGTACATGGTTTGTGTGTGGTCGACTTGTATACGCCTCTTCCCCCCTATTCCTGAATGAACAGGCTGCTGCATTTGGGCCATGCGTTCATTCTCTCCTAGGTGAGAATTGTTTGACATGCTGTGCTGTGCTGTGCCGTTCCGTATTGTGCACTGCATTTAAACTATGCGTTTTCCAGAAGCCGCAGCAGCAGTAGCAGCAGCTTACAATCGCCCAAGTCACACACTCTTCTTTCCAACCAAACAAACCCCCTTCTCCCATCCCGCACCCGTTGCACCTATTTCTCCTTCCTGTCGCGCCTCCTGCAGGTGGAGTTTGCAGCGTCGTACCACCGGCTGAGGGGAGCTAATGTGTTGTTCCCCTTCGGCTTCCACTGCACTGGCATGCCCATTAAGGTGCGTGCGTGCTGCATGATAGATAAGACTTCGTTGTTCTGTAATCGAATCATTGCACGCATCGTGCTGTTCCCCTCCCCTTCGGTTTCCAGTGCATTGGCATCTCCTGTAAACCGCCACCCCTTCCCTCCACACCAGGCGTGTGCGGACAAGCTAGCACGTGAGATGGACACATACGGCTACCCGCCCCAGTTTCCCAGCGAGGAGGAGACGGCAGCTCTGGAAGCGCTCTCCATTGCGGAGGGCAGTGCTGCTGCAGAGGGGGGGGATGGGGCGGCCGCGGACGGGGCTAAGGGGGAGGAGCAGAAGGCTCCTGGGCAGTTCAAGGGGAAGAAGGTGAGGTTTTCTGCCCGGCGTGGATAGGTGGGGTGGAAGTGATGATTTTAAAATTTCATCTAAGGGGTTAGATGAGGGGATGGCGGTGGTAATGGTGTCAGTGTGTAGGTCTGGGACCGAAGCTCACAACTTTGTCAACATCTCATCAGCATCCCTGCTCCTAATTTTGCACCCCTTTCTCCCTCCCTCTCATCTCTTCCTCGCCCCTCCCTGCCCTTCCCCCTAATTTCCTGCCCACTCCATTCCCCCCTGCCTCCTTCGTCTACCTCTTCACACCCCTTCACACATACACGGCTGTGGCTGTGGTGCTTCTGTCTCGCGTCTCCTCCTGCTTCTCCACGCTCGACTGTGGCTGTGGCGTTTCACGCTGCCAGTCCAAAGCTGCTGCCAAGACAGGAACGGCCAAGTACCAGGTAAGAGAGGTGGCAGTAGGGGTTGCGGAGCCGGTTGGGGGATGTGGCACAGTTGGTAGGGGTATGTGGCATCATGTGACATGAGGTGAAGTCATGTTGGTCATGCATAACCGTGGTCCACAGGCCATCCGGGCATGACTGACGATCACATATGCGTCTAAACCTCTCAGTGTGCATGCCTCGTTCTCTTCTCTCACCCTCTCTGACCCCGCTTCAACCTTTCTCACCCATTTCATCCTTATGATTCTCACCCCTCTACAATTATCCTCACCCCGTTGCACCCCCTATTCCTCACCTGTACTCATCCTTTCTCGCACCTTCTCACCCGCTCTTACCCCTTTCCAACCCTTCACACCAGGTTCCACCCTATCTCACCTCTTTTCCACCCCTTCTCACCCCTTCTCATCTCACCGCCAGTGGGAGATCATGCGGTCCATGGGCATGTCAGACGAGGAGATCAAGCCCTTCAAAGACCCTGCGCACTGGCTCACCTACTTCCCCCCTATCGCTGTGGTATGTACCATGTATATGCTGCTGCTGCTGCCGCCGCTGCTGCTACTGCTCTCTGCTATGCTTTGCTCTGAATCGTCTCGGAATTAGCCCTTGCTGCTCACTGGCTCACCAGCTTTCCCCGTTTTCATTTTGTGGCACCTTTACATTTCTCCTTGAACCCTTTCGGTCCCCTTACCATCTGTCTTTCCATATTCCCCCATTGCGCATGCTCTCAGGACGATCTCAAGGCGTTTGGGCTGGGAGTGGACTGGCGCCGTTCTTTCATCACCACGGACATGAACCCCTACTATGACTCCTTTGCACGCTGGCACCTGCAGACACTCTACAACAAGGGCAAGGTAGGTGGCACGTTGATGGGTGCATGTTGATTGGTGCACATAGGTAGGTGGGACCGTTCCTTCCATCACCACGGACATGAACCCCCACTATGACTCCTTTGCTCGCTGGCACCTGCAGTCGCTGTACAACAAGGGCAAGGTGCGTGGCATGGGCAAGGTGGGTGCATGCTGATGGGTGCACATAGGTGGGTGTCCCCCTCCCTCGTCACCACAGACATGAACCCCCACTATGACTCCTTTGCTCGCTGGCACCTGCAGTCGCTGTACAACAAGGGCAAGGTAGGTGGCTGGCATGGGCAAGGTGGGTGCATGCTGATGGGTGCACATAGGTGGGTGTCCCCCTCCCTCATCACCACAGACATGAACCCCCACTATGACTCCTTTGCTCGCTGGCACCTGCAGTCGCTGTACAACAAGGGCAAGGTAGGTGGCATGGGCAAGGTGGGTGCATGCTGATGGGTGCACATAGGTGGGTGTCCCCCTCCCTCATCACCACGGACATGAATCCCCACTATGACTCCTTTGCTCGCTGGCACCTGCAGTCGCTGTACAACAAGGGCAAGGTAGGTGGCATGGGCAAGGTGGGTGCATGCTGATGGGTGCACATAGGTGGGTGTCCCCCTCCCTCATCACCACGGACATGAACCCCCACTATGACTCCTTTGCTCGCTGGCACCTGCAGTCTCTTTACAGCAAGGGCAAGGTGCGTGTGAGGCGTGGCATGTAAATAGGAGCTTGTTGATGGGTGTTCCTTCCTGCACGTCTCACCCTCTCGCCCCTGGGTGGGCATCTGTGTGCGTACCATGACAGGGTGAATATGTTTTTTTTGAGAATTCTAAAAAAAAAAAGGATGGGCATCTGTGCGCGTACCATGACAGGGCGTGCCTCGCTCTCACTCACTCCTCCCTCCCCCCACTCCACTCCACCCCCTTGAATCTCCGCTGCTCTTCCCCTTGCTCTTCCGCTGATCACCAGGTGGTGAAGGACCGGCGCTACACCATCTTCTCGCAGCTGGACGGGCAGCCCTGTGCGGACCATGACCGGGCGTGCCTTCCCCTCGCTCCATCTCTACCCCTATTTCCTCCCTCTTGCTCTCCCTCCCTCTTGCTCTCCCTCCCCGCTCCCCCCCACCAGGTGGTGAAGGATCGGCGCTACACCATCTTCTCTCCTCTGGACGGGCAGCCCTGTGCGGACCATGACAGGGCGTCAGGGGAGGGCGTACTGCCTCAGGAGTACACGCTCATCAAGATGCAAGTCGTGCCGCCGCTCACAGGTAAGTGGTGTGGTGTGGTGTGGTGTGGTGTGTCATAAACCCTTCTAGGCCTTGTGCTCTAGTGCACCATCACAGAGCCTCAAGGGAGGGGAGGGCTGTCAGGGGAGGGCGTGCTGCCTCAGGAGTACATGCTCATCAAGATGCAAGTCGTGCCGCCGCTCACAGGTAACCACGGGCAGGGGTGTGAGGGGAGGGAGTTCTGCCCCAGGAGTACACGCTCATTAAGATGCAAGTCGTGCCGCCGCTCACAGGTGTATTTTTTTAACTAGCTTTTCTAGCACAAGCTATATGTGCTACTCACTCACGTATTCTTTCCCTCAGTACTCACGTTTCCCCCCCTCCTCCTCCCCCCCCCCCTCCCTTCCCCCCAATTCTCCCAGCCTCCCTCCCATCCTTCAAAATCCCAAAACCCCAAAAATAGCAGATTTCCTGTTTTCCTCCCACGCGACCCCCAACCAATGCCAGGCAAGCTCGAGGCTCTTGCAGGCAGAAATGTTTTCCTCGCCGCTGCCACGCTGCGCCCGGAGACCATGTACGGGCAGACAAACGCTTGGGTGCTGCCTGACGGGCAGTATGGCGCGTTTGAAGTGAACGAAGCGGGCGACGTGTTTGTGGTAACCAAGCGATCGGCTCTGAACCTCTCCTACCAGTTTCACTCCAAGGTGAAGCAAGCACCCACTGTGTTCCGAGCAACCCCGGTCTTGGTAGTGGCTATTTTGTCACTAATGTATCACCCGTGCCTTCCATCCCTCAGCCGTATACTATCATTCTCTGTCCCCCCAAGAGTTTGGCAAGCCGCAGTGCCTGCTGGAACTGTCAGGACACGACCTGATTAAACTCTTCACCACCCACCCAGAACCACTCATTACCCAACTCAACCCCTTCACCTGTGCTGGCCTCCTCTCTCCAACGTGGTCTTCCTCCCTGCAGGAGTTCGGCAAGCCGCACTGCCTGCTGGAGCTGACGGGGCTCGACCTGATTGGGCTGCCTCTCAAGGCGCCTCTGACGCCCAACCCGGTCATCTACGCCCTGCCCATGCTCACCATCCTCACGGACAAAGGTGTGTTGCTCACCCCATGCTCACCAAAGGTATCTCGTGCTCAAAAGTCCTTTCGGAAACAATGCCCCTTGTGAAGTGGAGCTGGAGAGCTGAGAGTTTATTTGCAATCCCCTTCCTCATCATCTACATTTGCCACTTTCTCACTTGGATCTTCTCTCCTCTCTGTGTGTCTCTTGCACTTGTCCCCTACCACTGCCACATCACATGCACCTGACATGACGTACATGCATGGCACATGCATGCAGGCACGAGGATGGCGACGAGTGTGCCCAGCGATTCACCAGACGACTACATGGCTCTTGTCCTCTCTGGCTCTCCTCCCCTCTCACTCACTCTTCTGCCCCTGTATACTCTCCCCCCCCCCCCCCCACCACCTGCAGGCACGGGAGTGGTGACGAGTGTGCCCAGTGATGCACCAGATGACTACATGGCACTGCAGGACCTCAAGAGCAAGCCGGGTATGCATACATACATACGTACAAGCATGCATGTGTGCATAAGGTGTGGAATGGCGGCACCACACCAACGAGTGTGCCCAGCGATGCACCAGATGAGTACATGGCTCTGCAGGGCCTCAAGAGCAAGCTCGGTGAGTCGTGTGGTACATGCATACGTAGATTCATTCGTACAACTGTACGTACATGCACATGCACATGCATGCACATACATACCTGCATAGGCTTTCCCCCATCAGTTTCCCCATCAGTTTCCCTATCACTTTCCCCATCAGCTTCAGCATGAGGTTCAGCATGAGGTTCAGCATGAGGTTCAGCATGAGGTTCAGCATGAGGTTCAGCATGAGGTTCAGCATGAGGTTCAGCATGAGGTTCAGCATGAGGTTCAGCATGAGGTTCTGCATGAGGTTCTGCATGAGGTTCAGCATGAGGTTCTGCATGAGGTTCTGCATGAGGTTCAGCATGAGGTTCAGCATGAGGTTCAGCATGAGGTTCTGCATGAGGTTCTGCATGAGGTTCAGCATGAGGTTCTGCATGAGGTTCTGCATGAGGTTCAGCATGAGGTTCAGCATGAGGTTCAGCATGAGGTTCTGCATGAGGTTCAGCATGAGGTTCTGCATGAGGTTCTGCATGAGGTTCAGCATGAGGTTCAGCATGAGGTTCAGCATGAGGTTCTGCATGAGGTTCTGCATGAGGTTCTGCATGAGGTTCTGCATGAGGTTCTGCATGAGGTTCAGCATGAGGTTCAGCATGAGGTTCAGCATGAGGTTCTGCATGAGGTTCTGCATGAGGATCAGCATCAGGTTCTGATGGTGCATATCCCTGCCCACTCTTACTCCATCCATTTCTATCCATTCCCATAGCCGTCCCCATCCTCATCCCCATCCCCATATCATGCCCATCCATCCATACTCCGTCCGAGCGACCCCCAGCCCTGCGAGGGTCAACGTGAAGGAAGAGTGGGTGTTGGCCTTTGACGTCATCTCTTATTGCACTGGCTCATTTCCCTTGTCCACTCCTCCACTCCTTTGCACCGTTCCCGCTCCTGGCGTACTGTCCCCAACCTCACCCCACCCCACCCCACCCCACCTCACCCCGCCCCAGCCCTGCGAGCAAAGTTCAACGTGAAGGACGAGTGGGTGCTGCCCTTCGAGGTGATCTGCTCTTGCACGTGCTCCGTCCCTGCCCTTTCTCCACTCCTCCACCCCTCTGTACCGTTGCTGCTCCTGGTTTACTGTTCCCAACCCCAACCCAACCCACCCCACCCCACCCCACCGCACCCCAGCCCTGCGAGCCAAGTTCAACGTGAAGGATGAGTGGGTGCTGCCATTCGAGGTCATCCCCATTATAAACATCCCCGAGTTTGGCGATGCAGCGGCAGTCAAAGTGTGCCAGGACCTCAAGATCCAGAGCCAGAACGACAAGGAGAAGCTGGCCGAGGCTAAGAGACTCACTTACCTCAAGGTGGGTGACTGGCTAAGACGTATCTCAAGGTGAGTGAATGGCTAAGACTTATCTTAAGGTGGGTGAATGGCTAAGACTTATCTCAAGGTGAGTGCAGAAGAGCAATGCATCCTTGGTGCACTGAGGTTTGAGTCACAAAGACCTACTGAACGAGGTTTGAGTCACAAAGACTTACTGAACGACGTTTGAGTCACAAAGACCTACTGAACACAGCTGGCACGGTGTCTATCAAAACTGCACTGTTGCTTCTGTTCTGAGTTTCCCTTCTCCCACTTGTCCAGTGTTGCTCAGCCCAAACACAATCATTCCTCTTCCATGTCTTTCCTTCATCCCGTGCGTGCAGGGTTTCACGGACGGAGTGATGCTGGTGGGCGAGCTCAAGGGGACCAAGGTGCAGGACGCCAAGCCGCAGATCAAGAAGGTATGTGCACCCTGTGGTGATGTCAGCTGATTTCTTTTGTTGAGGCGCCTTAAAAGAAACAGGACGGCAAGCCACGAATCAAGAAGGTGCATGCGCCACAGAATGGTGTTGTCTCAGAACGAACAAGTCTGTGTCAAGGTCTGGATTGAGTGTGTTCTTGCGCATACGCACATCGGAGTGGTACCTGACTATTCCTCTCCGCACCCTTCCCCTGCTCTTGTTCCCTCTCCACTTCCCTCCTCCCGCGAACTGTTGATTAAGCGCGGTGAGAGAAGTGCCATACAGCGAGCCAGAGAAGCGGGTTGTTTGACGGTCATGGGACGAGTGTGTGGTGGCGCTGGCTGACCAGTGGTACCTCACATACGGCTTCCCTCTCCCTTCCTTCTCCCTCTCTCCAGTTGTTGATCGAAAGAGGTGAGGCAGTGCCCAGCGAGCCAAAAAAGTGAGTCACATCGCGGTCGGGAGACTGCTTTTGAGTCGACTCAAAAGCAGTGCCCTACAGCGAGCCAAAAAAGTGAGTCACATCGCGGTCGGGAGACGAGTGCGTGGTGGCGCTGACGGATCAGTGGTACCGCTTTTGAGTCGACTCATGCGCTGACGGATCAGTGGTACCTCTTTTGAGTCGACTCATGCGCTGACGGATCAGTGGTACCTCTTTTGAGTCGACTCATGCGCTGACGGAGCAGTGGTACCTCACGTGCTGGTCTGTCTTGCCTCTCCACCACTTCTCCTCCCCCCTACAGCTTCTGGTTGAACGAGGTGAAGCAGTACCCTACAGTGAACCAGAGAAGAGGGTGACATCGCGGTCAGGAGATGAGTGTGTGGTGGCTCTCACAGACCAGTGGTACCTCACGTACGGCGAGGAGCAGTGGCGCGCCCTGGCAGAGGAGTGCCTTGCGGGCATGCAGCTTTACAACGAGGAGACCCGGCACGGGTTCCAGCACACGCTGGGGTGGCTTGATAGGGTGAGATATTGTGGAAGGAATGGGGATGGGCGGAATGAGAGGGAAGGGAGGGGGCACGGGAGAAAGGGCGCTGGCAGAGGAGTGTCTGGTGGGCATGCAGCTTTACAACAAGGAGACGCGGCACGGGTTCCAGCACACGCTGGGATGGCATGACAGGGTGAGTGAGAGATTGTGTGAAGGATAGGGGTGGGCTGGGCGAAAGAAAGGGAATGGAGGGGGCGTGCAGTGCAGGGAAAGGGCGCTGACAGAGGAGTGTCTGGCGGGCATGCAGCTTTCCAACGAGAAGACGAGGCATGGGTTCCAGCGCACGCTGGGATGGCTTGATAGGGTGAGTGGGCGGTTGGGGAATAGGGGAGGGAGCATGGCAGTAGGGTGTGCTGTGCAGGCAGAGGAGTGTCTGGCGGGCATGCAGCTATACAACGAGGAGACCCGGCACGGGTTCCAGCACACTCTGGGATGGCTGGATAGGGTGAGATAGTGAGGGTGATAGGGTGAGAGATGGGGGGGGAGGAGAATAGGGGTGGACGGATAGGAAGGAAATGGAGGGGGTGTCTCGCTATTTATCCTTCCATGGCCCCCGTGGGTGTTTCTGTGGTCTAATCCTCGATCTTCCTTCCTCTGCCTCCTTTTTCGTCCCTTCCCTGTCCTGTCCCAGTGGGCGTGCTCGCGCTCCTTCGGCCTGGGCACGCGCATCCCGTGGGACCCGCAGTTCCTCATTGAGTCGCTCTCTGATATTCCTGCCGCAACTCTTCCTCCCATTTTCCCCTCTTTCCCTCCTCCCTCCCATCTCCCAGTGGGCGTGCTCACGTTCCTTCGGCCTGGGCACGCGCATCCCGTGGGACCCACAGTTCCTCATTGAGTCGCTCTCCGACAGCACCATCTACATGGCCTACTACACGCTCTCGCATATTCTCCAGGTGAGATGGGTGGGTTGAGTGCGGTGATTCAGGCACCCAGATGAGTGAGGTGTCTTATGAGTCGCTGTCTGACAGCACCATCTACATGGCCTACTACACGCTCTCTCACATCCTGCAGGTGAGTAAGATGGGTTTGAGTGCGATCCTTCAGGTGCACCTGCTGATTGACTTTTGGGAATTCTCAGAAGTGACTTTGATATGCTGTCACACAGCACAGCACCACCTATACGGCCACATGCTGTCTCACATCACATCACATCCTCCATGTGATGTGAGGTTTCAGGTGAGTCCTCTTCCGTGAAGAGCACTCAACCTGACTCTCATGCCTTCCCCTCCGCTCCTCAATCACCGCCCACTGTCCCCCCCCATGCAGGAGGGAGACATCTTTGGCACGTCAGGCAAGCAGAGCATCAAACCGGAGCACCTCTCCCACGCAGAGCGCTCAACCTGACTGCAACTCCCACGCCTTCCACTTCCACTCGTCAATCCCCCCCGTACTTGCCTCTTAATCAGGAGGGAGACATCTTTGGCACGTCATTCAAGCAGAGCATCAAGCCGGAGCACCTCTCCCATGAAATGCACTCGGCCTGACTGCCTCTCCCATCCCATGCATTCCCCTGCTCTCGCCAATCACCCCCTATTTACACTTAATCAGGAGGGCGACATCTTTGGCACGTCATTCAAGCAGAGCATCAAGCCGGAGCACCTCTCCCATGAAATGCACTCGGCCTGACTGCCTCTCCCATCCCATGCATTCCCCTGCTCTCGCCAATCACCCCCTATTTACACTTAATCAGGAGGGCGACATCTTTGGCACGTCATTCAAGCAGAGCATCAAGCCGGAGCACCTCTCCCATGAAATGCACTCGGCCTGACTGCCTCTCCCATCCCATGCATTCCCCTGCTCTCGCCAATCACCCCCTATTTACACTTAATCAGGAGGGCGACATCTTTGGCACGTCAGGCAAGCAGAGCATCAAGCCGGAGCACCTCTCCCATGAAATGCACTCGGCCTGACTGCCTCTCCCATCCCATGCATTCCCCTGCTCTCGCCAATCACCCCCTATTTACACTTAATCAGGAGGGCGACATCTTTGGCACGTCATTCAAGCAGAGCATCAAGCCGGAGCACCTCTCCCATGAAATGCACTCGGCCTGACTGCCTCTCCCATCCCATGCATTCCCCTGCTCTCGCCAATCACCCCCTATTTACACTTAATCAGGAGGGCGACATCTTTGGCACGTCAGGCAAGCAGAGCATCAAGCCGGAGCACCTCTCCCATGAAATGCACTCGGCCTGACTGCCTCTCCCATCCCATGCATTCCCCTGCTCTCGCCAATCACCCCCTATTTACACTTAATCAGGAGGGCGACATCTTTGGCACGTCATTCAAGCAGAGCATCAAGCCGGAGCACCTCTCCCATGAAATGCACTCGGCCTGACTGCCTCTCCCATCCCATGCATTCCCCTGCTCTCGCCAATCACCCCCTATTTACACTTAATCAGGAGGGCGACATCTTTGGCACGTCAGGCAAGCAGAGCATCAAGCCGGAGCACCTCTCCCACGCCCTCTGGGACCATCTGCTGCAGGGCGCTCCCAAGCCCGCCGATTGCCCTGTGCCTGATGACGTGCTGCAGGTGAGGGCAGTGAAGCAGAGGAAGGTAGAGATACGGTGGTGTGTGTGTGTGTGAGGCGAGGAGGAGGAGCAGGTGAGGGAGATGAGGCACATAGGGTGGCGTGTGTCAAGCCTGGGACCATCTGCTGCAGGGCGCTCCCAAGCCCGCCGATTGCCCTGTGCCTGATGACGTGCTGCAGGTGAGGGGTGTGAGGGAGATGGCGCCACTGGGGTGGTGTGCGTGAGGCAGAGGAGGAAGAGCAGGTGAGGGAGATGGGTGGGTGTAGGTGAGGCAGTAAGTGTGTGCAGGTGAATGGTCGCTTCTCCTTTATGAGGTCGGCTGTGCACCCTGCTCCCCTCTGGGACCATCTGCTGCTGGGCGTGCCCAAGCCCGCCGACTGCCCTGTCCCTGATGATGTGCTGCAGGTGAGGGGTGTGAGGGCAATTGGCGAGTGAATGACAGGAGCGGATGTGGTAGTGACGCTGTTTGATTTGAGCAGCCAGACCGGAATTTAGTGGGTGTTGGTCATTGTTCCACACTGTTTCTATCTTCTTGTCTCCTAAACTAAACCCCCCTTAAACCCCTGAACCCTTGACAGCCCACGCGGGCGGAGTTTGAGTACTGGTACCCGTTTGACCTGTGCGTGTCGGGGAAGGACCTAACACCCACCTCACCCTCTGGCTCTTCCTTCTCCTCAAACCTCCCCCCCAAACCCCCCCAAACCCCCCCAAACCCCTCCAAACCCCTCCAAACCCCTGAACCCCCTTGACAGCGTGCGCGGGCGGAGTTTGAGTACTGGCACCCGTTTGACCCGTTTCACATTTTGTCTTCCTTCTGTTCCCGAATTCCCAAACCCTCTTGACATGGCAGCGTGCGCGGGCGGAGTTTGAGTACTGGTACCCGTTTGACCTGCGCGTGTCGGGGAAGGACCTAACACCCACCTCACCCTCTGGCTCTTCCTTCTCCTCAAACCTCCCCCCCAAACCCCCCCAAACCCCCCCAAACCCCTCCAAACCCCTCCAAACCCCTGAACCCCCTTGACAGCGTGCGCGGGCGGAGTTTGAGTACTGGTACCCGTTTGACCTGTGCGTGTCGGGGAAGGACCTAACACCCACCTCACCCTCTGGCTCTTCCTTCTCCTCAAACCTCCCCCCCAAACCCCCCCAAACCCCCCCAAACCCCTCCAAACCCCTCCAAACCCCTGAACCCCCTTGACAGCGTGCGCGGGCGGAGTTTGAGTACTGGTACCCGTTTGACCCGTTTCACATTTTGTCTTCCTTCGGTTCCCGAATCCCCAAACCCTCTTGACATGGCAGCGTGCGCGGGCGGAGTTTGAGTACTGGTGCCCGTTTGACCTGCGCGTGATCAACAACCACCTCACCTTCGCCCTCTTCCTTTCCTCCCCCCAAACCCCCCAAAACTCCGGAACCCGTGGCAGCGTGCACGCGCGGAGTTTGAGTACTGGTACCCGTTTGACCTGCGAGTGTCGGGGAAGGATCTGATCAACAACCATCTCACCTTCGCCATCTACAATCACACCGCCATGTTCCCCAAGGTTCGTTTCGTTATAAGCACTGCCACCTCTATACAATCACATTGCAACCACACCGCCGTGTTCCCCAAGGTTCGTTATAAGTATGCAGCTTTATTAATTTTGCGCGTTATGTCTCCAATTCTATTCATGTAAGCTGAGCTTGCGGCAATAGGTGGTACAATGCGTTTGCCTTTGGATGGGATGGGACGGGTTGTGCCTTGTCCTGATTCGTATGCCTCTCATCATGGTCACAATTTCACGCTCCTGTCACCACACCACACCCTACACCACACCACACTCTACACCACACCCCATGCTACACCACCCCACACCCCACACCACCCCACACCCTACACCACGCCACACCACACCACACCACACCACACCACACAACAGGAGCAATGGCCAAGGGGATTCCGCACCAACGGACATCTGCTGCTCAACTCCGAAAAGATGTCAAAGTCGACCGGCAACTTCAAGACCATCCGCCAGGCCATCGGTGAGATGTGCTGTCACGCACGCCCCTTTATGCGTGCTACTAGGTTGGATAGGGTATGTCTCTCTTTTTGACTGGGAGGCCATCTGCTGCTCAGCTTGGAGAAGATGTCCCAATCCACGGCAACTTCAAGTCCATCCGCCAGGCCATCGGTATGTCCTCACATTACACCCCTTTCCCACCTGATGGGCTGCATGTAGGTTACCAGGGTGTGTGTCTGTGCGCGCCCATGTTGACTTGAAGGCCATTTCATCTGCTGCTCAACTCGGAGAAGATGTCCAAGTCGACTGGCAACTTCAAGACCATCTGCCAGGCCATTGATGAGTTTACCAGCTCTTTCCCCGTGTGGTAGATTGTATGTAGGTTACAAGGTTAGGTACGGTGTGTGTCCCTGTGTTGCCCCAAAGGAGCCCTCTGCTGCTCAACTCGGAGAAGATGTCCAAATCCACTGGCAACTTCAAGACCATTCGCCAGGCCATTGGCACGTGCTTCGCCCTTGACCTTTACCTGCTTTTATTTATGTTGCCACACGTCTCCCTGGAAGGAGTTTTCTTTGAACTTGACTTGGCTTCACCCTCGCGGATGGGACTTTGACTTGACGTGACACAGCGTTCCCATCCCAGGACCCTGTTCACTTATCCTTCAACCGCCCTCCCATTGGCCATATCCTGCTCTTCACCCCCTCTTGCAGAGGAGTTCTCATCGGACGCGACTCGCTTTGCCTTGGCTGATGCGGGTGACACTCTGTTCCTTGCACTTGTCCGCTAACCCCTGTCCGGTTGCACACTCCCCCTGCTGTTGCCACCTCCCCCTCCCTCTTCCCCCCTCCTCCTTCAGAGGAGTTCTCTTCGGACGCCACCCGCTTCGCCCTGGCGGATGCAGGAGACACGGTGGATGATGCTAATTTTGTGGAGGAGACTGCCAACGCCGCCATTCTGAGGCTCACAAAGTGAGTCAGCCTGCTTGGGCTGTGGGGTTGCATGGTGAGGTACGGGCAGTTTGCTTTTCAGCTCCATGTGGGCTGGCTTGTGGAATGCAGATGCGAGCGACACGGTGGACGACACAAACTTCGAGGAGACTGCCAACACTTGTGAGGCAACAGTGGATGATCGTGATGCTCACAGAGTAAGAGGAGTTCAGATTGTGAGAGGCTGTTTGAGCTGCACTGAGAGTGGGGCAGAGAGTAGAGTGGGACTTGGGCCGGAGCTTGGGTTGTTAAGTGCTCGTGCGGGTGACACGGTGGATGATGCCGAATTTGTGCAGGAGACTGCCAATTGCTATTCTCAGGCTCATACGCAGTCCTCACCATCTTTCAGTTAGTTCTGTCTTCAACCTGCTCCGTATTCAAATCACCCTCTGCTTGGTGGTGCTGTCCACCAATCTTATCAACTCACAGGGAGATGACGTGGATGGAGGAGGTGGGCTGGCATCCGCAGCCACAGAGGGGGGCCTAAGGACCAAGCTGACTGCGTGTTTGAGAACAAGATCAAGCTGTGGCTCTTCCGTCACACCACCCTCCCTTCCCTGCCCCGCTCTTTACTTCACCCCTCAGGGTTTGCATTTCGAGCTAATTCAAGCGCCGTCTCTGCTTTCTTCCTTCCCTTCCCCACACCCCTCTTCCCACAGGGAGATGACGTGGATGGAGGAGATCCTAGCATCAGCAGCCACAGAGGGAGGTCTGCGCACCGGAGACGAGCGGTCGTTCGCAGACCGCGTGTTTGAGAACGAGATCAACCTCGCTGTGGCTCTTCTTTCACGCCTCCCTCCCTGCCCCACCCTTCACCCCTCAGTGTTTAACTTTCGAGACGGTTCAAGCGCCGCCTCTTATGCTTTCTTCCTTCCCTGCCCCCTTTGTCAACTCACAGGGAGATGACGTGGATGGAGGAGGTGCTGGCGTCAGCACAGCAGCCACAGAGGGGTGTCTGAGGACCAGAGGCAAACAATTGCTCATCTCATGCCTCCCTCCTTCCCTCCCACCCCCCCTTCACTCCGCAGGGAGATGACGTGGATGGAGGAGGTCCTAGCATCAGCAGCCACAGAGGGAGGTCTGCGCACCGGAGACGAGCGATCGTTTGCCGATCGGGTGTTTGAGAACGAGATCAACCTCGCTGTGGCTCTTTCCAAAGCGGCTTTCGACAACATGCTGTTCCGCGAGGCCCTCAAAACAGGCTTCTTCGACCTGCAGGTAAAGCATTCGCCCCTATAGGTGCGTGCATTCACTCGCAGGTGCTTGCAGTCACTCAGGGTTGGTCATTCACATCACAGACCATCCTGTGTTTCTGTTCATCCTCTCCTAAGTCCAATGGAGCCCCTGACAGGAGCCATGTCTTTACGTGGCTGCGACTGATTCAGATTGTAAAAGGGTTTGTTAGTTAAAAAAAGGGTTTGTTAGTTAAAAAACCTGTGTTTCTGTTTATCCTCTCCTAACCTCTATCTTCACTTACCTACCCTCCCAGCTCGCTCAAGGCGAGTACTGGCTGTCATGTGGGGGGCAGTGGGTCAGCTCTATCTCCTACAATGCACCTCCCATCCCTTTGTCCTTCCCTCCCCTCTCAACCCTCCCAGCTTGCATGCGACGAGTACCGCCTGTCATGCGGCGCAGCGGGCACGCACAAGTACCTGCTGATGTCTTCAGTGGTGTATTCCGCCTCTCATCTGCCTCTTTGTCTCCCCTCACTATCCTTCCGCCTCTACCCTCCCAGCTTGCACAAGACGAGTACAGGCTGTCATGCGGGGCAGCGGGCATGCACAAGGACCTTCTGTTGCCTTGGGTCTATTCCGCCTCTTATTTATCCCTTTATCCTCGCTTTGTTCTCCCTCCTCTCCATCTTCCCAGCTTGCGCGCGACGAGTACCGGCTGTCGTGCGGAGCAGCGGGCATGCACAAGGACCTGCTGATGCGCTTCTGCAAAGTGCAGACGCTGCTGCTCATGCCGGTGCGATGGGGGTGATGGGGGTGATGTGATGGGGGTGATGTGATGTGATGGGGGTGATGGGAATGATGGGGGTGATTGGGGGTGATGTGATGGGGATGATGTGATGTGATGGGGGTGAAGTGATGTGATGGGGGTGAAGTGATGTGATGGGGGTGATGTGATGTGATGGGGGTGATGGGGGGTGATGGTGGTGATGGGGGTGATGGGGGTGATGGGGGTGATGGGGTGATGGGGGTGATGGGGGTGATGTGATGTGATGGGGGTGATGGGGGTGATGTGATGGGGGTTATGGGGGTGATGGGGGTGATGGGAGTGATGGCGGTGATGGGGGTGATGTGATGGGGGTGATGGGGGTGATGTGATGTGATGTGATGGGACTGGGGCGAACGGGGTGGGTCTGAAACTCATGCACACGAGCATGCACTAGGACCTTCCTTTGCGCTTTTGCTAAGTGCCGGTGCTGCTGCTGCTCATGCCGGTGCTTTGGGGTGGTGGGATGATCGGGGTGCTGGGTTGGTGAAATAAGATGCTGTTGGTATTCATGCCCATGCAAATACACATGTGCGTGCACTTGCTCATGCCCATGCACAAAGAAAGCTGTGATGCTGATGGTAGCTCATCTTTCACCACCACCCTGTTGTGTGCCCATGCCCATGCCCATGCAAATACACATCCCCTCCGCGCTTTCATTGTGCGTCATTTTTCCAGATCTGCCCGCATTACGGAGAGCACGTGTGGAGAAACATTTTGAAGCTGCCCGGGGCAGGCATCACAGCGGGATGGCCGGAAGCAGCGCCGGCTGACATGACCCTCAAGGCGGCCAATACGTACCTGCAGGTGTGGGGGTGTGCACCTGTGCGTGTTGTTCATGGTTCTGAGCGTGCATGCGTGTTGACTATCCGTGCTTTACACCGGAAGCAGCGCCTGCCGTCATGACCCTCAAGGCGGCCAACACATACCTGCAGGTATAGGTCATGGGTGTGCGGGGTGTGTGAGTGAGCATGCATGCTTACACGTTTACTTTGCCTTGCATCGCATCAGAAGCAGCACTGGCTGACATGGCCCTCAAGGCCGCCAACATGTATCTGCAAGTGTGTATGTGTATACTTGCATACGTGCATGTGTGCATGCGTGTGTTACCTAGAGTTGTACCGGACGCAGCACCGGCTGACATGACCGTCAAGGCCGCCAAACATGTATCTGCAAGTGGGGAGGTATGCACCTGTACATGTGTGCATATGTGCTCTGGAAGGGCACACCTCCCTGCTCGCTCTTCCCACCTCTTCATTCTCTCCCCTCTTCCCCCCTTCCTTGTATATCACAGGACTGCATAGTTGATTTCCGCAAGCTCATCACCAAGCAGGCATCAGCGGGAGGAGGAAAAGCCAAGGGGGGGAAGGCAGCGGCAGTACCAAAGGAGGCGCCAAAGATAGCGGTGGGGGTGGTGTTTGTGGCCGAGCAGTACGGCGGGTGGCAGGCGGAGTGCCTTGGGCTGCTGCAGAAGCATTTCGACGCGGAGAAGCGGGTGTTTAATGATGATGCTGGGCCGCTTGACGCTCTTAAAGCCAGCCCTGTGGGGCAGGTAAGGCAGTGGGGGGTAAGGGGAAAGGGGAGGGTGGGAGAAGGGGGGGAAGGGTGGGAGAGGGTGGGGAAGGTGGGGGGAGAGTGGGAAGTGGTGAAGAGGGATAAGGGAAGAGGGGGAAAGGGTTCTCCTGCAGCAGTACGGTGGGTGGCAGGCGGAGTGCCTTGGGCTGCTGCAGAAGCACTTTGATGCGGAGAAGCGGGTATTCAATGATGATGCTGGGCTGCTGGACGCACTTAAAGCCAGCCCTTTTGGCCAGGTAAGACAAGGGGAAAGGGCAGGGCAGGGGGTGTGTCTGGAGCTGCTGCAGTGCTATTTCTATGCGGAAAAGCAGGTGTTTAAGGATGATGCTGGTCTGTTGGACGCTCTTAAAGCCAGCCCTGTGGGGCAGGTAAGACGAGAGGGGAGAGAAGAGGGAGAACCCAGTGGAGTGAAGGAAGGAAGGCGACGGGAATAGAGTCCGGAATTTGGGGCTGATGCTGCAGACTCTTGAGTCGACTCAAAAGTCAACTAAGGAAGGGGACGGGAATAGAGTCCGGAATTTGGGGCTGATGCTGCAGACTCTTGAGTCGACTCAAAAGTCAACTAAGGAAGGGGACGGGAATAGAGTCTGGAATTTGGGGCTAATTCTGCAGACTCTCTTTCCTCCTCTTGCTATTGCTGTCATAATTTCCTGCCACCACCACTTCATAACCCTAGACGTTCCTGTCTCTCCTCCTCTCACACTTCTTCTGGTTTTCCTATCGCTACCACTTTTCAGCGCCTGGATTTCAAGAAGCTGATGGGGCATTGCATGGGGTTGATCCCACACTGACTCACATCCCCTATCCCCTTTCTCCTCCCCTCACGCTCCCCTTCCCCTTCTCCCATTCTCCCATCCCTGCCACCACCCGCCAGCGCCCGGACTTGAAGAAGCTGATGGGGCATTGCATGGGGTTCATTCCACACTGAGGCATTCCCCCTTCCCCCCCTCTCCTCCCCTCACGCTCCCCTCCCCCCTCACCACCGCCAGCGCCCGGACTTTAAGAAGCTGATGGGGCAGTGCATGGGGTTCATCCGATTCAAGAAGGATGCTGCTCTGCTGCACGGCGCACAGGTCAGTCGCCAACCGCTCAGATTGATCTGCTGTCTGCTACCCTGCTGTGTCCTCTGCCGTGCATCCCTCAAGGCTATGACCTGCTGCCCTTGTTGCTCTGAACTTCAAGCTTGGTCCTCCACATATCACCTCATCCACCGCATAATACCTCGTTCCACCGCACATCACCTCGTTCCACCGCACATCACCTCGTTCCACCGCACATCACCTCGTTCCACCGCACATCACCTCGTTCCACCAAACTTCACCCCATTCCACCGCTCACCCCATCAGGCTCTGGACGTGAAGCTGCAGTTTGACGAGGCCAACGTGCTGCGGGAGAATGCTGACCTCATCAAGGTGAGACGCTGACCCCATGCTGATGTCATGAGTATGGTGACGTGGCACCAGCGCCCTGATTGGAGCATGCCATTCTGCTGATCAGCACTTACCAGAGTATGCGCATCATTGTACGTCTGAGTGCGTCTCCGCATCGGGCTGGTGTCATGTGAGCGATTTTCGGTGTTCCGCACAGCACAGCACAGCACAGCACAGTTTCTGCATGTGCCCAACCCAAGGGCAACTGTTCCTCACTGCAATCTCGTGGCTTGTGCACAACAGCGCCAGCTGCAGCTGGATCAGTTCTCGATGTCCCTCACATCAGATGCCGATGCCGTTGCTGCCATTCATGTGCCTAATCCCTCTCCTGCCTTCCTTTGCATTCCTGTGTATACATGTGTCTTGTGAGCAACAGCGCCTACTGCAGCTGGATCAGTTCTCGGTGTTTCTCACGTCGGACTTTAAAGTCTTGCTGCCACTTGTGTTCCTAATCCCTCTCTACCTCTCTGCACTCCTCTGTGTCCCTCTGCATCTCTCCACATCCTCCCTGCACCCTGCCACCCAACAGCGCCAGCTGCAGCTGGATCAGTTCTCGGTGTTCCTCACATCAGATGCCGATGCTGTTGCTGCCGTCAACTCCAAGGACGCTGCCCGCATCTCTGCTGCTGTTCCAGGTGTGTTGCACTTGAGATTGATTCAGGAGGAGGGGGGGTGGGGGGGTGGGGGGAGGAGGGGGGGGGGGGGGAGGGGAGGGTGCTGCTCACATCAGATGCTGATGCCGTTGCTGCCGTCAACTCCAAGGACGCCGCCCGCATCTCTGCTGCTGTGCCGGGTGTGTTGTGTTCCACTTGGGTGTAGGGGGACGGAGGAAGGTGTGGGGGAGGAGGGGGGGTGTTCCTCAGATTGGACTCTGGTGTCATTCCGTGTGTCAGTCCCACAGGTGTGTGTTATGCAGGTGTGAGGTGTCTTGTGAGCAAGTTGGAAGTTGGAGTTGAGGAGTTAAGATTCATGTCTCCTATTTCCGGATGTTCTGCTGCACTATGCTTGTCTGTGATGTTCAGGCTCCCCTGTTGCAATCTTCTCAGCTGCAGCTTAAGCATCACCCTGGGAATTTCATGTCCGTTGCAAGTCTTGAAACATCTGTTGCAATAATACGAAATGTTGCACCCTTCCACTCAAGCCCAAATCGCATGCGAAAAACATAGGGCCCGTCGTCTTAGGGAGGCAAAATCCAGAAAGTTCTTTGGCTCCCTGCAATTAAATCATTTTGTTAGGACAACCAATATACCTGGCTTCAATGTCAAAAATCTCTTTGCAAAATATGTTCAGTAGTAAAGTAGTGTAGTATGTTCTCCATCCATCCGTGAGTGTTCTGAGTTTGATCCAATTGGTGTCCTGCTTTCATTGGCAATCCATTGCCTAGTGCCCACGCACGCACCCTCTATCCTCCTCCCATAATCCTCCACGTGGCAATCTGACCCACTTCATTCGTCAGAATGCGCTCATCCGTACGTGGCACCTCCACGCTGTCTCGTATTCCCGAGCCGCCTCATGTGTACTGCTGCAAGCAATCCATTCCAGAGCTGTTTTGAGCGCGAACATAAATCGCTATCGGTGGTTTGTGTGTTACTACAATTTTCTCTCCTTCCTCCAAATTTCGCACCTTCTGCCAGTCCCCTTACGCCACAGATTCCCAGCTTCTTAGACGCAGTAGCGGAAAATCCGAATTCTGGCTTAGTGGAGTCCAGAAGCTCCTGACGCAGTTCCAATTTCCGCTTTTACGCGCCCGAAAAAAGCTTTTGTCTTGTGTCCCGCAATGCAGGGTCTAGATTCCATCCGGCCTGTTCCAGCGGGCCCCGCGGAGGGCAAACCGTCACTCACTGCGCCCGCGCCAGCGACGGAATCCGCCAGCCATGCTATCGTGGAAGAACATGCGGGCGCCGCCAGCGGTACGAGCGGCGCGGAAGGCGGCGCCCCCGCAACGTCGGCGCGTGGCGGAAGGGGACAGCGGGGTGGGCGAGGGCGACAGCGGAGTGGTCGAGGGCGCGGAAGGGGAGGGGCGGGCGCGGAGAGCGGAGGGGATGGAGGAGAGAGCGGGAGCGGTGATGTGACCAACCATCTCGGCGGAAATGCGGAGGTCAGCGGCGGAGACGGAGGAGGCGGAGGCGGGGGAGGGTGCGGAGTTATGGGGGGAGGCGTGGCGGGAAGTCGTGGCGGCGCGGGTGGCGGCGCGCAGTGCTCGTGCGTGTCGTTTTCCCCGGAGATGCAGCGCGCGTTCTTCGAGCTGCACGCGCTGCGGCTCGGAACGGACAAGGCGACGTACGGCGACACGCTCGAGTGGCTGCTGAACGCCGCGAAACCCGCTATCGAGCAGCTTAAAACGGGGACGGGAGGAGCGGGGGCAGGAGGCGGGGCGCGTTCCGCTAAGAGCGGCAAGAGGAGAAACCGCAATCGACGTAAACAGGGGCAGATGGGGGATCAGCAGGGCGCGGGAGGGGAGGGGGGAGCGGAGGGCGGAGCGGGAGGGGAGGGGGGAGCGGAGGGCGGAGCGGGAGGAGCAGAAGGAGGGGGTGTAGGAGGGGGGGAGGGAGGGGGAGTGGGAGGGGGGGAGGGAGGGGGAGTGGGAGGAGTAGTAGGGGGGGCAACGTGATGGGGAGAGGGTGGGGTATAGTGAAGAGTAATGGGAGGAGGGAGAGAAGCAGTGCGATGCTGTTGTGTGTGATGCACGAGAGTGCGGTGCTGTTGTGCGGTGCTGGCTCGGTGGGTGCAAAAGAGGAGAGTGTGTCAATGCACTCGAGGTATGCTCTTTTACGGTAGTTGACACGAGTTAGAATGATATGGCACGAGTTGACATGCTTAAACCCTCAAGCCTCTGGTGTTGACGGGTAGAAGAGCTGCAAGGGGGCACACAACAGAATAGAGTAGCTTGATTTGTAGCAATGGAAAATGCTCTTGGCTTCTCTTTTCTTTTGGGTGTTGTGGAGTTTGCAGACGAATAGTTTGTCAGCAGATAGTGTGTTGTGCGCCCTAAATACCACTCCCAGCCTTGGTTCCAATTATCAGCTTCTACCAACCCATAAATCAGTATGTTTCCAATCACTCTGCCCTCCCCGAAACGCCATCACAACATCACCACACCATCAAGCACACCAGTCGAACGCCATATCAGAGCCGCCATTCAAAGCCACATCAGAGCCACATAGGAGACATCTCTCATTGCAAGCCTTGCCCTTGCTAACATGTAACCGCCCCGTCGCCATCACTGCAAAAGGTTCCCGACAAAGCCCACTCCACTCCCTCTCTTGAAATTTGAGATATTCCAGGTGATCACAGTGCTTGCTTCACCTCAGACCAGCAAACCTTGAGGCGCTGCCACCACCACCATTGCCGTAACCTCCACCACCACCACCATCACCATCCATCATAGAACACCCATCACTGCCATCACTCCCATCACTGCACCAAGTGTTTGACACCCGGCAGCACCATCCCAGGCTTGACAGCCCCATGGCTCAACGGCTTGACCACCCCTCTCACCGTAATCACTGCCCCCTCCTCCCCATCCCCTCCCCCCCGGCCCACCCTCCACTCCCTCTTCTTGCTCCTCGCCTGCTTCTTCTGCTTCTTATGCTCTGCCTTTGCCGGCTGCTGCTGCCTCCTCCCCCCTCCACCTGCCTGGCCTGCACTAGCAGCACCACCAGCAGTGGTGCTGCCGCTTCCCCTGCTTTCCCCACCCTCGTTATAGTCAGCATCACCAAGAGAACCACCCGCAGCAGCAGCAGCAGCGGCGGCCTGCTGGGCCTCTTCCAGAGCCATACCTCCGAAATGCTCCAAGTCAACTGCGTCTAGAACCAGAAGTTCCCCTTCCTCTCCCTCTCCCTCTCCCTCGCCCTCTCTTTCTCCTCCTGCTCCTGTGCCTAACCAATTTTTGTCACTAAAACTCTCTTCTGGGCAGCCTGGGGGCAGCTCGAAATGTGGCAGCTTCCCACTCAAATAGTCCTTCAAAATGATTCGGGCTGCCCGGGTTTCATCGGGCAGCCCGGAAGAAACCACGTGCCCTCGTGACCGGGCATAGGCTTTAAGAATCTCCACTGCCTTCGGGGGTCTGTCAGGTCTTTCATGGGCAGGTGGAGGCGGAAAAGTCAGCCCGTAAATACTTTCAAGGGCTGCCCGAGGAACTTTTCGAGCAACCACTTCAACGGGCCCTCTTTGATCCGTGATTCGGTCAACGGGCAGCACTCCAGCTGCCACCATTTCTGACCGGGACGACGCAAACGACGGGAAAACCAGCCCCGGGCAGTCGCAGAGCATCAGCGAGTCCGACACGGGCAGCGTCTGAAAATGTTTTGTCTTGCCCGGAGTGGACGTGACGCCGGTTTTTTTGGACCCAACAAGGGCGTTGATAGTAGAGCTCTTACCCACGTTGGGGTAACCCACAAATCCCACAACCACTCTCTCCTGCCCGTCCTGCTTATCCCTTCTCCCCCCAGATGCTCCTGCTGAAGCAACGGCAGGAGCACGAGCAGCAGCAGTAGCGGCGGCGGCGGCGGTAGCAGCAGCGATGGCAGAAGCTTTCGCCTCGAGCAGCCGTAATAGGCTGTCCTTGCCGTGTATCCTCACATCCTCTTTAGTCACCCTCACTCTCACACTCCCCTTCCCCTCAACATTCTCACTTCCCTCTTGCTCCTTCTCACTAACTTCACCTGCTTCCCCACTTTCCTCCTCCTCGCCCTCTTCCTCATCCTCCTCCCCGTCCGCCTCCTCCCACTCACCCTCACTCTCATCCTCCTCCTCCTCCTCCTCCTCTCCCTCCTCCCCCTCCTCCTCCTCCTGTCCCTCCTCCTCCCCATCCACCCCTTCAGCAGCAGCCTTAGCAGACCAGAAGGCGAACTCAACGCCCTGTCCTTTCAGCCACTCAGCCCACAGCCGCCGCACACCAGAAGGCAGAAGATCCGCCTTGTTCAGCAGCAGCAGAGTCCGGCTCAGCGAACCCTCCCCTCCCTCCCTGCTGCTGCTGCTGCTCCCGTCTGCCAAATCCTTATTGCTCTCGTCTTTCGAGTTGCTGGTGCGCAGGTTGTTGCTGCTGCTCTCGTTGCTGTGATAAGGCCCTGCTCCCAGCTCGTGCACGTACGCTTCGAGGTCAGAGCAGCGGTAGAAGAGCGGATCTCGGCTGTCCACCACGGTTACCACCTGGATACGGGGTTACAAAGAATGTCATGGTCGTGAATGGAAAATTACTTTTCTTGCAGCAGGTGAAGGCAGTAGCATGCATGACAACCACCAAAACTGGCGTAATGACCACGTAACCACATGCCACTGGTAACCAAGTAACCACCTTATTCAATGGTAACCAACTGGTTACCAGATAACTATGCACTCGCAATCACCCAGCAACTGGTAACCGGGTAACCACTCACCAGGTGGCTTCTCTCCAGCACTCGCCACAGCTGTCGCCAGATGTCAAGGTTCTTCTCGAATGGGGTTACCACCAGGTGGTTGTTCTCCTCCACCCTGCCACATTGTCACACCACACCACATTCGTTACAATCACATCGTGACACGCAGGACGCAACGCACATGAGCATGCACCATCAGCACGCGCCACTGGGAATCATACATTCCCCCTTCCCCCTCACCCTCCCCATCATGCAACATCATCAGCAACTACACCTTCGATCCCTAACTCACTCTTGCCATCCCTCCCCCTCCCCACTCGGCCCCCACCCCTCCCCCACTCTTCCAATTCCTTCCTTGCGCCACTCACGCGGAGAGCGATCGCCTCCATTCCAGGAAAGCCGCCTTCTCACTAGCGTCCAATTCTGCTGACGTCATGCTTGCGCTCCACTTGGGCCTGGGGCCGAAGAAGTGAGAGCGGCGGATGGGAGGGAGACGAGGAGAAACGGGAGCAGAGGGAGGGTGGAAGAGGAAGGAGGGGAAGGGGAAGGGAAGAAGGGTGAGAAGGGGAAGTATGCATTCTTTTCACCTCATCATGTCTTTCAATTCCACAGCATAATTTTGAAATTTCAACCACAGATGATCATTCAACTCAGCTCGTGCCAACTTCTCTTCACGAATCACTCAACAGACGTGCAAGTAAGTTTCCCTCCCTTCATCTCATCCCCTTCTCTGTTCTTCTCCCTCCCCACTTCCCTTACCCTCTCTCATTCCCTCTCCTCTCCGCTCACCGTCTTGGGATGGTAAGAAGCTTCCTGTGAAGTTCCTCCTGCTCCCTGCGCTCGCTGCTGCTTCCGCCTTTCCCACCTGCAGCTCCCACGTCATGACTGCCGTGATTCGGAGAAAGAAGGGGGGGGGAGGAAAGGGAAGGGGGCGGGGAGGGGAGGGGAAGGGGGAAATGGGAGGGGTGAAAAGGGAAGGGAGAAAAACGATTTTTTGTGAAAGTTCCAGGGGAGAAGGCGGGCTTTTTAGCCCTGAGCTCATACATCCCCATTCAAAGAATCAATCAAGGGAGGGTAGAAGGAGAACTATTTATTTCCGTGACGATTTGGGTGTGAGTATGTAAGGCGAAAGTCCTCCAGCGAGAAATGGGTTGCGTTTTTCAGAATTCTGAATAGCTTTTAAGAGCTTTGAATAGCTTTTTAGAATTCCGAATGGCGATTAAGGCTACCAGCGAGAGCTGTGTGGAGCGAGTTGCGGGGGAAGAGACTCGTTGTGAGGGTTGGGAGGTGGATGGGGGTGTCTTAAACGCCTAGAAACAGACTCTCCCACCTTGCGCCCCCTCGTCCCGTGAAGAGTCGGTGTGGGGGGAGGGGATGAGGGTGGTTTGGGGGGTAGACGGGCGCGCCAATCAGCCTTCCGCCGCCCAGCCTAAAGACACTCTCGCAGGCGAGAGTTGCGAGCTGAGAGAAGTGGGTGGAGAAATGTGGACGGCGGACGGCGGACGGCGGAGAGCGGAGGGCGGAGGGCGGAATGCGGAGGGAGGAGGGCGAGAGGCGGCTCAGGGTTAAAGCGCGCCAGGAATACAAATTGCGGGGTTTACGACGACGATACTTAAACCTTCGCATGTGCCTGTAATATGACCCCTCAGTCATAGATTCGGGTTCAGGGTTCGAGGTTTACATGGAAAACCCTGAATGGACGCATCTACACGTAGCAGCTTTGCCGCCATCTGTGCTGGCGCCCGAGAGATTACTGGCAAGAGCAGCAGCGCACAACCCGCGGAAGAAACAACACACGACCAGAAAGTACAGCTAGAGATCCCACAATCTAGGGGGGCGAAACCAAACCCTACACCCATATATTCTTTCTGATCTTTCCGCTTCTCACCCATCTAGGTAGATTATCTCAGCGTTGCCTCTTTGGGCGGAGAACTCCCGCCCTGCCAGCTCAGCAGTCGTCAGCAGCTCCTCCAGGTCACTCTGATCCACCACCGACACCAGCGCCGGCTTCGCCGCCGCTTCCGCCGCGGCGATGACGTGGCGTCGGCCCTCGTCGGCGTGCTGAAACTCCGAACCGCGGTTGAATCTATGGCGGATTAAAGACGAGCCCAGGCTCCCGGAGCCTCCCTTTTTCTTCGGCATAGCGGCTACGAATCAAGTATGCAGTCTCGCCGACGCGGGATGCGGTGATACAGGCTTTGCCCTGAGTTACGAATCACGATGCGGATGTACAAGCGCAGGAGCGGAACTAAGACGCTTAGCTACGAAGAATCGGAGTTAACACTAGCCTTTGCAAACAAGCGGGATTACGGAGGTGACAGAGGGTCTGCAACGAATTCGGTCTTCAGGGTTTTAAAGGATGAATAGTGTCTACAGATGATGGATCATCGAAGTCTGACTCGCGTTAGGTGCTTCGCTTCCACATAATGTGGGTTTCAACTACGAGTATTGCGAAACGCTTACTAGTAAAAAATTGGCCAACGACAATGCATAACTAAGAGGCCAACTTAGGCATACTCTTTTCAAGAGACTAATCGAGTAGCGCCCGATATCAAACAAAAAAATTGATTGGTATATTATCTTTCTCGCATGTTTCTCTCCAGTAGTGTAAAACTGAAAAAAATGACTAGCATCTTGACCAGTAGAGCATACTCTAAAGGAACATCTATCAATGAGTTTTCTTAACCATAACGAAGCACGGAACCTTGCTCCCAGGATTGGACACGCATTCTGGGATAGGTTCTGCTTGTACGCGTCAGTAGTAGGCAAGGTTCATCCGCCCCTCGCTTGGCATCCCACAACCACAAACATCCACAATTCCACGTGCAAGCGGACATCGAGTCACGGTGCTTTCGAAGCCAATTTTCGCTCGTTCACTTCACATCTGAACTCAACCTGGAAATTGGCGCCGCGTTGCAATCACGTCATGCTGGGGTGGAATGGATGGGCGGCGCGGGAATATCATCGTGAGAGCCACTCATTACGCACGATAACCAGGATGGACCTGGGCTAACATCTCGAGCAATTCGCATTTCTGGGGAAAATTCAGCCTTCACCGGGACAGCCTGCTGATTACGTCCCAGACGAGTCGCCTGTGTGCCCGAAGAGGAATTTAACGTTTGGCGACAGTGATGGGACTTCGCTAGGGGAGAGTCCAGATGTGGCTGAATTTCGCCGTTCGTTCGCTCGCCTCAGCATTCCTCTTCGTGAAGCTTTCGCGAAACCCCTCACAAGCAGCCCAACCCAACCCACAAAGCACGAGGATGTGCTGCGATGGGGACGCGACGCGATTCGTGATACACCACAACTTTCTTGCCATACAAAAACTCGATCCTCAGCTATCATTTTCATCATCGACTACAATTGCTTCTTCAATCCCAGAGCATCCGTTCTCTTGACAATCAGAAGCTAACAGCAGCAAGCCATGGCTCGCTCAATCGCGGTCGCCCTTGTGCTGCTCGCAGCTTTCGCCGCTGTCGCCAATGCCGCAACTGGGGCTTTCACCTATGAGAAGAGCGGCATTGACTGGACGGTAAGGACCAATATCCGCACTGACCGTAACCCCCCCCCCCCCCCCCCCCCCCCCCCCTCCCCCCCACCCTCACCCCCCCCAGTCTCAATTCTCCTCAATTCTCCAATTGTCGAACACGCAGCAATCGTAGCACCGAGATTAATCGCTATCCTTTCGCTCTCTGTATCAGCGCAACGATCTCACTGTGTACGCATTTCCGCCATGTCGCTCGCTAACCTCCACACTCATTCGCCCTTTCGATGTTCGTTTGGATGCGATGATGCCGCAGGGCGCGTGCGCGACGGGCGAGCGCCAATCGCCGGTGAACATCGTGATGGACAAGACAGTGCAGAGCAAGAAGCCGGAGCTCTTCTCGCTCGAGTACGGCAGCACCAGCAAGCAGGCGTCCGTCGTCAACAAGGGCTCCACCATCCGTGAGTCCCAAACTCAGATTGCTGCGGATAGCTTAGCGTAGCGCGAAAAGCACGACTTCGTCAAATTAATCGAAATTCCGAATTCGCTTCATTCGACCACACATTCGAGAGGTTGAATATGAAAGTCGACTTTGCTTTTATGATTCTTTCCCGCTTCCCGATCACCCGAAGTGCCTTCCGACACTCACTTACCATGTCTCAATCCCCCACCATCTTTTCATTCTGTTTTCCTCCGCGCTGCTTTCTTCCAGAGGTGATTCCCGCACCGGAGGAGACCCACCTGCTGCACCTCGCATCGGGCGACTACAAGTTGCTGCAGATGCACGTGCACACGTACTCGGAGCACGCGATCAACGGGCTCTTCGCGCCCATGGAGGCGCACTTCGTGCACGTGAACACGGTGGATCCCAAGAAGCTCGCCGTCGTTGGCGTCATGCTGCGCGTGCACCGCCACGACGACGACTCCGCGTGGGTCAACCAGTGGCTGCCGCAGGCGCCCCTCGAGAACAACGCGAATGCCACCATCTCCATCACGCCCAACTTCTGGAGCGAGATGATCGACGCGTCGTCCGGCTTCTGGGCGTATCCCGGCTCGCTCACCACGCCCGAGTGCGACGAGATTGTTTCGTGGCACGTGCTGCGCAAGGCGCAGCCGCTCTCCGTGGCGCAGACGATTCAGTTCATGAACATTATGGCGGTTTCCAACCAGGATCGCACCGACAACCGCATGCCCCAGCCGCTTAACGGCCGCACCATCTACTTCCACTACCCTGCTGCTGCCGCCAAGTAAATAAATGGCTTGACTTTTTCGTGCCATGGTAGGATGCGGTAGCCAGAGTGTAGCTCCTACCTTGTATTGCAGTCTTGCGTGGGCTTAAAATGAAACGTCAATCTGGCTCTCACCTTGTTACGTATCCAATGAGCTAGTTCATGATTGATAATCATCCAATCCTCTTGCTCACACAAAACCGGATTCCCTAACAACAATTATATCAAGTGCGCACCAAGGGGTGAAGGTTCCACCTCCAGCTTTCCTTGTGCTGTTTGCCTTTCTCCTTGTGTAGTTTGGAAGTCAATCTATCTAGAACTGGTACTTAGCAGCTGTGTGTCTGCCACGAGTTCAGGCTTCTATCCCAATCTTCACTTTCCAGTTCATCTATATACTTGATGAAAGAGAATACTCTGCATGTTTGAATCTACTGCTTGCACAAGAAATGCCATTTTGTCTTAATGCTAAGCTATCATCTTCCAGCTCTGGCTCGTGGGTCATATGTGAACATAGAACGAGAATTAGACTAACCTCTAGATCTGCCTCTGATCTTCTGGGAGGCGCATCGTGGCAGAAGATGTTTCTGAGTCTGATTTACAGACAATGCTGTCAGTTTTATCAGTGTAGACGTAGGTGCACATTGAGCTAAATGAGGGGGTTTGTGATTTTGAAGATTTAACTGAATGTGAAATATGATACACATACCACGTGTAGTCAGGGAATAATTTTCCAAATATCGAGCTTTTCCCTCCGAACCAATCTCTGACGCAGGAGCTGCCGGAAAATGCGTCTTGGCAGATGACGATTTTCCACCCATTTGCCAACATGCGCCTCGATTAGGCGAATTTCGCGACTTGGCAGGACCACGCGCGATTCGATACTCGTCAAATTTTCGCTCAAATGTTGCCACCGCACAGCGGGACGGGAATTGGAAGCCCCTCTTCGTGCAATTCGCGCCCCTTTCTGCTCTGTGGGTTGGATCCCATGAGCCAGGTTTGCACTGGGGAGTGAGATGGGATGGGATGGGAGACCTGTAATTTCGAGCTGAGTTGCTGCAGTGGATGGAGCTGCCCTTGCCGTTTTGACTTGCTCCAACCGCATGGAAGTTGGTCAAACAACCATATCACCACCTCGCGAGCGAGACACAAACACACAGCTGCTTACCTTAAAAAGGTCACGACGAGCAGTTGTCAACGCAACTATTTAGAGCGTTCCACAGTCCAGGGTGGCAGGTAGGCAGTCCAAGCACACAATCATTCGTACCACCTCCTGTATCTCTTTCGTTTAGGATTTCGGACCACCACATTGAGTCTTAGCTGCAAGAAGGCAATAGTTTTCTCCGTAATAACAGCAATCTGCTATCCGCTGATAGTGGCGACCATGGGGGATACCACGAAACGCTTGAAACCGTTGCTCTTGCTAATTTTCGTCGCCACCGCGACGCAAGGTGGCGCGGCGTTGGGCGGGCTTCCGAACACGCCATGCGAGGGCGACGCCAGCCAATCCGCGCATTTCTGGTGGCCACGTGCCGTCAGAACCGTCCGCAGCAGAAGCGCTCTCGAGACAGCAGATGCAGGGAGCGACGGTTTTGCGGCGATGGGGACAGCTGCCGTGCCTCGGAAGCTCGGCGCGCAGTTGGCGGCGCCATCCGCCGGTCCCACTTTCGCGGAAGTTCTCGCTGCGTCTGTCGTTACCCCTGGCAGCGCCGATCCCGCTGGGGCAGTTACCGCCACGCCTCTCCCTGCTGCTTCTGCCGCTGCTGCCGCGCCTGCAGCTTCCCGGCCCGTCGTTTCCACTAACGCAGCTCCTACCGCTCCGGTGAAGACTCTCACTGGGAAACCCACGCCTGCTGCACTCGCCAAGGGAAAACCAGCCAGCAATGGCGCCGCCGCAGCCGCAGCCGCCGCTCCTGCGCCGAAGCAGGGTGGCCCCACGCCGAAGCAGGGTGGCCCCACGCCGAAGCAGGGTGGCCCCACGCCGAAGCAGGGTGGCCCCACGCCGAAGCAGAGTGGCCCCACGCCGAAGCAGAGTGGCCCCACGCCGAAGCAGAGTGGCCCCACGCCGAAGCAGAGTGGCCCCACGCCGAAGCAGAGTGGCCCCACGCCGAAGCAGAGTGGCCCCACGCCGAAGCAGAGTGGCCCCACGCCGAAGCAGAGTGGCCCCACGCCGAAGCAGAGTGGCCTCACGCCGAAGCAGAGTGACCCCACGCCGAAGCAGAGTGACCCCACGCCGAAGCAGAGTGGCCCCACGCCGAAGCAGAGTGATTCGGTGCCGAAGCTGCCCCCTGTTCCCAAACCGGACGCACCTAAGCTCGACGCGTCTAATTCTAAGCCCGGTGCTCTTCCCTCCAATCCCGCACCTTCAGCAAAACCACTCGCGACCGTTCTATCAGCTGGTAGCTCACCGCTGGTAACGACCAAGGCCGTCAACTCGACTGGTGCAGCTGGCAACTCGACTGGTGCAGTCGGCAATTCTACCGCGCCGGCAGGAAATAGCACCAGGTCGGCGGGGAACTCTACCGAGACAGCGACTACTCCGGCATATGCCGTGGGATCGCGCGACTGCCAGTACGGGCAAGTCAAGCAGCTTCACGCATGCGCCGTTGGGTACGCGCAGTCCGCAAAGATCCGCGGCGGCCAATGGCCGACATCGTCGCTGTACGAAGTTGAAACGGAAGATGACACGGTGGTGAACGGGAGGCCCGTGGAGAAATCGTTACGGTTCGCGCTGATGAATTTCCCCGACGGAGTGATCATCACGTTTTCGCGAAGCATGGAGATCGTGCTACAGAGTAACCTGTTTTTACGTTCGCGAGTGACGATCGACGGGCGCGGCGTGCACGTGCGCATCACCAACGGCAGCATCGTCCTCCAGAACGTGAATGACGTCATCATTCACAACATCGAAGGTACGGAGTCGCTCTAGCTCTCTGGATACATCGTCGTACCTTTTCTTCTTCTCTTCCTCCGACCTCTTTTCTCCGATCATCCCTCACCTCTCCACCTCTTGCCCCTGTATTATCACACACTCAATCTTAGTCGAATTTCCCGTGTCCCCTTTCTGCCTCTTTGTGTGCTGCCGATATTCTAACAGTGTCGGGTAACCCGCGCGGCGATCTGATTCCCATCTACAACAGCAGCCGCGTGTGGATCGACCACTGCCGCCTGCAGGACGCCCTCACGGGCACAGTCGACGTGGCACGGGGCTCCACTGACGTCACCATCTCGAATAACTACATCAGCAGCCGCGGCCAGACGATGCAGGTAATGGCGTCACTGCGCCCCGGTATATGCGCACTTACCCCCTGGGGCTGACGATACACTCACAAATGAATACCAGTCGAAAACACGGAACTGCGCTTCTCGCTCCTGTTCGCCACTTAATTTAGATTTCTCCCCCTCTCCGCCCTCTACCCCGGCTATCCCTCCCAATTCGCTCTTCATCTCTGCACAGCTTGGCTTGTCGGACACGGAGGAAGCGGACAAGAATATGCGAGTCACGATTTACCGCAACTGGTTCAACACATCCGGATCCATGCAACCGCTCTGCCGCAAGGGCCGCTGCCACGTGGCAAACAACCTCTACACCCACTGGTCCTACTACTGCCTCGCCGCGCGCCGCGGCGCGCAAATCCGGTCAGAGAAAAACTTTTTCCGGCCGGCGCCGGGGTCGGCGCGACTGGAGGTGACGCCGTGGTATAGAGGCATGCCGGCCACAGATGTTTGGTTCGACGCTACAGTTACCATCGCGTCGTTCCAAGACTACTTGGCTGGAGGCGCGACGTTCAATAAGACGGCGTATGCCGGCCCCACTCCGATCTTCACGCCGCCCTACGCGCTGTCGCTGCCGCGGAATCCACGTCAGATGGCGTCTATTTTGAGAATCAACTGCGGTCCCAAGTACGATGTCGATTCCGCACTACCCCCTGCTTCGGGACAGTTCCTTCCGCCTGCCCCACCGACCCCATCCCCCACGACTCCTCCTGCGACTGCGAACACAACTTCTACTGGTAACAGCACTTCCACTGGTAACAGCACTACCGCTGGTAGCAGCACCAATGCTGGTAACAGCACCGTTACAGCAGCGTCGCCTCCGAGCTCGAACGATTGCCAGTATTCCACTGCGGGTGCCGGAATCGCCCTTGGGAGTTGCGCGATGGGTTTCGCCGCCCCGGGTTTAGTCGGCGGTGCTGGGAAATCCACATACGTCGTCACTTTAGAGGAGGATTCGACATCCGCTACAAGACAGGGTTCGCTTCGGTGGGGCATCTCGAATTTCTACAAAACTGGCGCAGTTATTACATTCGCACGAGACATGACAATTCAACTAATGGCGCCGCTATATGTGAAATCGTTCATGACTCTGGATGGGCGAGGCGTCAACGTGAAAATCGTGGGAGACAGCCTGCTGGTGCAGCACTCAAGTCAAGTCATCATCCATAACATTGAATGTAAGTCATGATCCATGCTTCATAAAGTGCTTTCTAATTTACCTCCTTTTCCCCCCCTCTAGCACCAACATCTCCTCAAACCGGTGCCACCTTTACCAATCATTACCATTCCAATCTACACCACCTCAATATGCTCCCTTCTGTGCTTCTTCAAATTCCTCATCCTCCGTGCTTGCAGTTTCCAGTAGCAGGACATCCCCTGCAACCATATCTCTATACAACACCAGCAGCACTTGGATCGACCATTGCCGCTTCTCCAACCTTTCCGCCACCCTCCCAGCCATCGAGCTCGCCCGAAACAGTACCGCGGTTACCATCTCCAACAACCTCTTCTACGGCACGCTCGGCACGCAAACCGTCACTGCCTCGCCAAGCCCAGCCTCGGGGACAGGCTCGGCACTCCACCTGGGCCAATCAGACGGCGACGGAATTAACCGTGACATGAACGTCACTGTCTACAGGAACTGGTTCCAGTCTCTATCTGCAATGCAGCCGATGTGCAGGCTAGGCAAGTGCCACGTGGCAAACAATCTCTACATCAACTGGACTGGGAGCACGGTGGAAGCCAGGGCGGCTGCTCAGGTGCTGCTGCAGAGCAACCTCTTTATAAGCGGACCCGATTCAGTACAAGTGGTGGCGAACACCACGTCCGTCCCTCCAGGTGTAGTCGCAGAAGCAGGTAGCAACACCACCAACACCACCAACATCATCAAGGCTTCACCCGGGGCAAGTGCAGCTGTCGCAGGGGCAGGTGCTGGTGCGGCTGCGGCTGGGGCAGGTGCTAATGTAACTGCAACTGCAGCTGGTACAGCAACCATGGGCCCCACTGTGAACGCCACTCAGGTGTTCACTCCGCCATACGACCTTCCTCTGGGGGACCCCAATGCCCTGCTCTTCGTTGTCTTCATGAAGCTGAACGCTGGTCCCCATGCCAACTGACATGGTAGCAGCCGTGGCATGGCAGTGCCTGTAACAGCTGACCTGTAGGGGCCTATGCAAACTGATTTGCCACCAGCCATCCCAACTGACCTGATGGTCCCCCCTTATGCACACCTCAGACTGCCCCAACTGACTTCTCCCCCCTCTCCTCCTGGAATGTTTGAAGTGCTTTCAGATTTAGCAAGAGTGGATGGTGAGATTGCTGCAGCTGAGGCTGCATGCAGCTAGGCTATATAGAGATGTTCTGTCAGCGCTTCGATGACAGTAGAGATTATTAGAAGAGTGTCTGTAAGATCAAGTGGATAAACGTGGTTCATTTTCTCCATTTATGTGTTATCTGCACTGATACAACACCCCTGATGAGATTGTGCAACCCTGGCACTTGCAGAATGTGACCTGGTCAAATGCTGCCTGGCTTAAACATTCCTCACACTTCTTGTAGAGTTTCATCTTGTTTTCCAAATAATTAATTATTGAAAGGCATCAGCATGCCTCTTGGCGCTAACTATTTCTTCGGTTTGCTACAAAACACGGACTCTTTCTGTAATAGACCTACCTTCTGCATATACGGTACCAATGTCATCATCGCGATTAATGAGGTGATAAAACAACTGGTCGGTGCTTGCTGTTGCGTGAGGCAACTTGGTATCACCTATTCACCATTTTACACACAAGCCAACTCGTGTGAGCAACTCTTGAGCCAGCAGCTTCTGGCCCAGGCGATAGACCACACAGAGAGTCTTGTGCCACCCGCTGCATGCACAGAGGCACACGCATGGAGACGGGCAGGCGCACGTAGGTACTGTATACGTCAAGCCAACGGAGTAGGAATTGAAGTTAGAAACTCGAACCCTACGATACACAGTGAGTCGTGTGCTGCGCGTGGCATACACATCAGGGTTCCCTGTGCCCTGTCCACCACACCACACCCACCACACCACGCCCACCACACCCTGCTCACCTCTTATCCTGCTCATCTACGCCCGCATGAGCATTGAGCCATGCAGCGTCCTCTTCCGCAGTCCCCGTGCCCTGCACCATGCGGTCAAGCCTGAGAGCAGGGAGTGAAAAGGATGTGAGGTGACTTCGGCTCATCAATGTGTGCATGTGCGTTGAGCCATGCAGTGTTCTCTTCAGCAGTCCCCGTGCCCTGCACCATGCTGTCATTCCTGAATCAGGAGCAGGGGCAGGGGCAGGGGCAGGGGCAGGGGCAGGGCCAGGGGCAGGGGCAGGGGCAGGGGCAGGGACAGGGGCAGGGGCAGGGGCAGGGGCAGGGGAGATAATGGGGAAAGGCAGAGGAGAGAGTGAGAAAGGGCGACATAGAGAGAGAAAGGGTGACAGAGAGTGAGAAAGGGTAGGAGAGATCAGATCAGCACGTCATCATGTGAACTGATGCACTGAAAACACTGCAGAAAACAATTACCATATTGCAGTAAACTAGCAAACCTGAACCTCAACTCACCATCCCTATCCCATGACTCACCACCCCTGTCCCGTGACTCACCACCCCTGTCCCATGACTCACCACCCCTGTCCCATGACTCACCAACCCTGTCCCATGAGCCCTCACCTATGCTGCAGAAGTTGTTGCAGCAGCAGCAGCGCCTGTGCATCCCCCCCCGCTGCCTCTCTCACTGCCTCGCTTGCGTCCTCAGGGCTTAGAGCCCCCTCCCCTGCTGCTGCCTTGCGCTGCCATGCAGGGTGGAAGGGAAGGGATGCGATGGGTAAGTTTTGCCGCTTGGCTAGTGAGATCAACGAACGGGGATGAGGGTCGTTTCGTGGCAACAGCAAGAAACCATTCGAGATTCTAACAGGGCAGGCAGCAGATGAAGCAGATGCCACGTGTCATATCCACGTCAGCCTTGCGTACCTCCAGGAGTGCTGACGTGGCAGCATCCAACTGGGCTTCTGTGAGTGAGAGCACTCGCAGTGCTGCCATCAAGCTAGAGGGAAACACATCCCCATGCTCACTCCCCTCTTGCTCCCCCCCACCCTCCTCCTCCTTATGCTGTCCCTGCTGCACCTGCACCTCATCCTGCCCCTGCTTGTCCTCCTGCCCCTGCTTGTCCTCCTGCCCCTGCTTGTCCTCCTGCCCCTGCTTCTCCCCTCGCTCCTGCTCCTTCCGACTCCTGGCAGATGAAGCACCGGCATACTGGCAATCGTTGTTGGGATACTTGGAGGAACGCGGAATGATCCATTGTAGTGAGAGGTCCTATAAGGGGGACAGAGCATGATTGCAGACATAGACGAGAGGAAGTGACTGGCAGCATGGGTATCACAGTCCAGTTTGAAGATGCTATGGGACTTTTGTTTAAGAGGCACTGTGAATGGATCAATGCAGAATGTAAAAGGAAAAGCCTGGGACCTGTATTGTCAGTGGCTGACGTGTCAGTACCTGACTCGTTAGCAGCTGATTCGTTTATACCTGCACGGCCAAGAGCTGTAGCTTGGTCTCGGCGCATGGGTCTTCCTGAAGCTGTGCCGGGGGGTAGTTGAGCTGGTGGGCATGGGAGGGCAATGGAAGTGGAAGAAAAAAGAGGAGAGGAGAGACGTGGGGGCAGGGGCATGTGTGAGAAGGCAGAGGTATGTGCATTGAAGGCAGAGGAGAGGTATGCATCATGCATGAATTTGCGGGGGATTGGGATGAGTGGTTGGGCAGCATACCATGAGGCGCTCGTGGGGGTTGTTGGGAATGGCGAAGCCATAAAGAAACAGAAGCTCCTGGTGTGAGAGAGTGGTGGGGAGTGGAGGTGGCGAGAGGAAGGGAGAGAGGAAGGGAGAGAGGTAGGGAGTGAGGAAGAGAGTTTCAGGAAGTGTCCTCAAGCAACTGCACATTGTCTTACCAATACTGAACAGTTTGAACGTGTCCCATTCAGTTTGCAAAAGATAGCGCTACCTAAAATCACCCGATTACCCCATACATAAGAGTACCAAATCGCTCTCACCTCGTTGCCCTTCTCCCCATAGCTGATGGTAACCTCGTTGCCTTGCACAGGAGGCACTACTGCAGGGCGGTGTGGGTTGGGGAGGGTGGAAAAGGGTGCAGAGGCGTGCTAGGAAGGATTGAAAGATGGGTGGCTTTGCGGCGCCACAAGAAAGAACCGAAAGTAAACTCGAGATAGGAAAACAGGCGGGTGGTTTTCGAGGCGGCCGCAACAAGACAAGATCCACACAGCACCAACTTCCAGCAGCATCACCTTGCAGCAGGCACACAGCGTCAGATTTGGCCATATGTTGAACTGGATGTGAGCCCGATGCTGAACCTGCTACTGCTCCATCTCCTCTTCCTTCCTCTTTTCCCTTCCCATGGTCGTCTCCCCAACTGCCATTGTTTCCAGAAGAGTGGGTAAGCTGGTTGGCTGTGAGAACCTCCCACCGAGCACAGGGCAGAAGGGCTGACGGACAGGGCAGAAAATGAAGGGAGAGAAGACCGAAGGAGAAAAGGAGTGGTCGAACAGGACATGGGAAATATGATATAACTTTTTTCTGGTCACATGGTCACTAATGAACTGAGGCGAGACACTGAGGAAGCAGGGAAGGTGGAGTGAACCACAGTGATTGCAGAAGTCAACTCCTGGGACAATCGCCTCTAGACTGTGTGGTGGGGAGTGGAGACGGGTCGGTTCTTGTGTATTCTAAAACAATCAAGTCGTCTAAGACGAGGTGACCCACAGTGATTGCAGAAGTCAACTCCTGGGACAATCGCCTCTAGACTGTGTGGTGGGGAGGACGCTGAAGGGGCGTCTACAGCATCGGCACCATCCGCACCATCAGCAGCAGGATCAGCATCAGAAACAGCAGCACCAGCAGCGGCATCACCAGCACCAGCATGTCCACCATCAGCATCCGGCACAGCGATGTTGACATAGGCAGAGAGGCTGGGAGCGAGCTGGAGGGTTAGAGCTCGCGACCAGAAAATGGAATTGGCCCTGAAAGAGTGGTGCACAGGGACGTATATCCAGAGGATGTACAGGACAGAGCAAGGTGGAAGGAAGGCAGGAGAAAATGGAAGAGAGAAGGTATAGATGGGTAGTTGGGGAGCGAGAGGATGGTGGGGGGAGGGGGCAGTTGAGCCGATTCAGAAGTAACGAATCAAAGCAAGGGGCAAGTTGAGTAAGAAGAAGCGAGGCATTGGCCAGTGAGAGGAGAGGCACGTGAGGGCAGAGAGAAAACGGGCGCTGCATAAGTGGCAGAACGTGAGGGGAAGAGGGCGAAGAAGAACACAACAGTGGAGTTTTTGTTTTCGTACCAGAGAAAATCGTCCAAGGAGATGCAGCTGGAGGCATCGCCACTGTTCTGCTCCCCCTCTGCTTCGACCACCACAGCAGCAAAGATTGGCTCCACCTGCTCCTCGTACACACGCCTCAAGTTGGCCCTCTGAACGAACAGGGGATTGAATATGGAGACATGAAGAGTAGAGGAAAATCAATCAGCCCACCACAGCAGCAAGGATCGGCTCCAGTTGGCCCTCAATTCCACCTGCTCCTCGTACACTCGCCTCCAGTTGGCCCTCTGAACGAACAGGGAGATTCCAAAACACGCACACTGTCTACTTAGATAGCCCAATCAAATGTGATGCAGCAGCTGTCAGCCCACTGCAGCAGCGAAGATTGGCCCCACCTGCTCCTCTTACACACGCCTCAAGTTGGCCCTATGAAGGTGCAAGAGGATTCAATATGGAGCCGTACGTAGCAGAGAAAACACCATGAGATGTGATGTGGCAGTTAGCGTAGCAAAGCAGTAAAGATCAAGTCCACCTGCTCCTGGTACATGGGATTCGACTTTCAAGCACGCCTGACATTGCAAAAACTCCTCACGTTGCAAAAACGCCTCACGTTGCAAACGCCTACCTGCGCACATGCAGCGTTGTACAGAGGAGTGCCTCGCAGCTCCTCCAACGTGGCCTGGTCGAACCACAGAGGCGAGTCAAAGCACTGTGGCAGGCAGGAGAGGTAGCTGCAGGCAGGTGTGTGGGACGGGCCGTGGGGCAGAGGAAAGGGCAAGTGCGGGTTGATGGGTGACTCAAACAGGTCAAATATCCTGAAGGGAGCTATTTCCCCTCCCTGGTGCCATCGGTGCCGGCTGCAGAAAGAGTTTTGAGAACTCTGACAAGTCCATCCAGCAGGCCCCGGTTGTGTTTTGATTCGACTCAAAACAAGGAAACAGGAACTGGAGAGCTGTACCGAAGGACTTACGGAGCCCAGAAGGAGCGTTCTTTCTGGTGGCAGCGGTGCAGTGCAGCAGCTGCAGGAGGAGCACGAGCATGTGGTGGTCCAGCAGGCCCTGGGAGAGCAGGCTGGAGAGAGAGGATATTTCCGAATACTCGAACTGAAGAACTTACGGAGCCCAGAAGGAGTGTTCTTTCTGGTGGCATCGATGTAGCAGCAGCAGGAGCAGCACAAGCATGCGGTGGTCCAGCAGGCCCTGGGAGTGCAGGCGGCGCAAAGAGGCGCCATAGATGGGGTCTTGCAGGGCAGTGGGCGCGGAGAGGAGGAGAGAGAGCGGCACGGAGATGAGCACTGTGTCTGAGCGAGGGGGAAGAGTAGGGGGTGGTGACGTAGGGGGGTTGGGAAAAATGGGGAAATATAGGGGATGGGAGTGAGGGTGAGCATGCGGTGGTCCAGCAGGCCCTGGGAGTGCAGGCGGCGCAGAGAGGTGCCGTAGAGGGGGTCTTGCAGGGCCGTGGGTGCGGAGAGGAGGAGAGAGAGCGGCACGGAGATGAGAACTGCATCTGCAGGTGTGGGGATGATGTAGGGGAGAATGCGTAAGGGGATCGGGGAAGGGAAGATGGGAGAAATGGGGGAATGGGAGTAAGGGTGAGTTTGCGGTGGTCCAGCAGGCCCTGGGAGTGCAGGCGGTGCAGAAAGGCGCCATAGAGGGGGTCTTTCAGGGCGGTGGGCGCGGAGAGAAGGAGAGACAGCGGCACGGAGATGAGAACTGCATCTCCAGGTGCGGGGATGATGTAGGGGAGAATGCGTAAGGGGATCGGGGAAGGGAAGATGGGAGAAATGGGGGAATGGGAGTAAGGGTGAGCATGCGGTGGTCCAGCAGGCCCTGGGAGTGCAGGCGGCGCAGAAAGGCGCCATAGAGGGGGTCTTTCAGGGCGGTGGGCGCGGAGAGAAGGAGAGACAGCGGCACGGAGATGAGCACTCTGTCTGCAGGCGTGATGAGGGGATAGGGTGGCGACGTATGCCATAAGGGGTTGTGGGGAATGGGAAAACGGGGGAAATGGGATTCAGGGTTATTTCAATTTAGCTCAACAATCGTTTTGAGGTTGGCACAGAGATGAGCACTGTGTCTGTGGGTGTGGGAGGGAGTGACGAGCGGGGATGGCTTAAGAGGATGGGAGGAAGATCGAATTAGGGTGACCTGGTGAGTCGCCTCGACCGTCAATTGATGGCATTGGAGATGATTACTCCGTCGTCTTCACGACCATGCGGTTTGCTCGAGGCCACCGCATGTGCAGGTGTGCTGAGGTGTGGAGGATCACGCAAGTTTGGGAGTCACTTTTGAGAATTCCCAAAAGTAACGCAAGAGGATTGTGAGGATTGTGAAGGAATGACAAGGAGTGGGAGGAATGGGAGTTGGCGAAAGCCTGGATATGGGGAGGGGTGAAACGGAGGGAGAACGGTATGGCAGAAGCAGGAAAATCGTTGGCGGATTAGCACCAGGATTGTGAAGGTCACCGAAGTGCAGATTCACAAAGCAGTGAGGAAATAATTCAAATTTGCTCGAAAGGAAGTCACAAAGACGGACCTCCATCGGCAGTATACATTCTCTCATCCGTATCCGATCTGGACAGAAAAACGCCGAATCCCGCACTGGCTGAAGCATGATCACCCGTAAGAAGCTCTGCTTCTGCAGCCTCAGCATCATCCTCCCTGGTTGCTACGTTCCCAGCCGCTGCGTCGCTTTCACGAGCATGCGATCCGTTCGCGGACGCTGTTCGAGCACTGCTCGTGTCATCGTCTGATACGCGTGGATTTGACGTAGCAAGTTTGGATTCAGACGACACGGAGGCGAATGACGCGACGGATGGCAAGGCTTTCGAAAAGCATTCACGAATTTTGCAGCCGGAAATGCGAGCGCCGTGTTCCTGAAGAGGAAATGAACGGGATTAGCACCAGGGGAAGCAATTGAATACGCGTCTGTCGCGTCGGATAACGTTCGGACTCAATGCCGAAGCGATTGGTCACCAACGCAATGTGGATGATTCACCTCAAGCCATGTCGTGAGAGCTGTACTCATGGCGGGAACGTGATGTCTGAAAATGAGACCTGGGTACATTCAGCGAAGGTAACTAGTCGTGTATTCTGAAGCCATTACTACGAGAGCTGGACTGTGTCCGACCTTGGGATTGCCTTAGTCTGCAATCAAGTCAATCCGTTGTCCTCGACATTGGCACCCAGATACTCGCCCTTAAGTATTTTACAAATCACGGCTTCCACAAAATGAAAATGTTACGCAGACAAAAGTAGAAATCACTTTCACCCAAGATAATTGTTGTTGCTCAATCAGTGATGACCAAGTCAGCTTCCACGTCCTTCGGATTCCGCAGAAAAATATCGAATCACAGCTCTCGAACGTCCCAGCTTGCCGCCGCACCCGTGCATTCAAAAAGCGGCATGTGTCCACTTCCAGCAAAAGGGGCATCGGACCACGAAAAGCGGTAGTACACGTGCGCAAAATGTAACTCGATCACCTGCACCAATAGTGCTCATTTTACGCGCAATTCCCTATGTGATCGGGTCGCCTGATTGCACTGAACAATACTTCCTTCTTGTAGTTACAAGAGGGTAACACTGCATCTGAGCCGTACGATGCCCTGATGCACCTCTAATCAATTGTTGGAATTCTCGCTCGGATGCAAGCAACTGGGAGTATTTCAGAATCGCTTGGCGGAGTCCCATGACATTCTAGAGAGCAGGTATATCTCACAGACCTGCAGTTCTTATTTTCAGTTTACGCAATCGAGACTTCTGTTGACCTCCACCTTTCTCCACCTTTTTCGCGAACAGAGAACCAGTCGATCGTAACAATGGCCACCGCGATCTCGCTCTCTGCACGCGTGCCTACCGTGCTTAAGGCCGAGAAGAGGACTGTTTCCGAAGCCAGCAATGCTACTGAGCTGGTAAGTTCGATTGAGAAATAGCTCATTCATGCGTTACACCTCTGTATGCCGCTAAACCCACGTTTTATCGCGCCCGTTCTTCGCCTCTGTTGCCGTTTTCACCTGGGATTCTAATGTGTCTTGTTCCCGCCTTACCAGGGCTTCGCTCGGTCGTTCCGCGTGAACAACAGTCTCGTGGGCCCATGCAAGCCCCTGAAGGCAACGAAGGCATCGAGATGCGTCGCAACTAAGGCTGCTATAGCGACAGAGAAGCCTCCCACTGATTCAGGTTAGTCATTCTAATAGACCCTAGGTCGAGCAAAATTGTATGATTATCCAAGTGACCGTTCGCTGACAAATTCATGTGTTTCTTTGTGACAGCGTCCAAGAGCAAGAGCAAGATTCGCATTGGAATCAATGGTGCGTCCTAGTGTTGGACTGCAGTCAGTTATCCCGTGTGTCGGCGATTGTTATTTGTGAACGCAGCATGATTGCTAACATCCACTGCCGCTTTTCCAGGTTTCGGTCGCATCGGTCGTCTTGTTCTTCGCGTTGCTCTGGACAGGCCTGATGTGCAGGTCGTTGGTATCAACGATCCGTTTATCGACACTGATTACATGGTATTTCCACATGATTAGTCTATTACCTGTCATCGTCTTTCGTCACGTATATCTCTCCGTTTTCCACATTGTCATTCAGCGTTGGATCGTACTGATTCTTTCGTGTAACCATCGCCGCTGTTCAGGCTTACATGTTCCGCTACGATAGCTCCCACGGCACATACCCCGGCGAAGTTCACGCTGAGAGTGCGAACGCCATCAACATTGACGGACAAAGCATCGCGGTCTTTGGAAAGAGGTCAGTATCTAGTCTCCGGTAGTTTTTCATCCCGGATTCCATGTGACAATCAGCAAAATGATTTACGCTCACCGGTCGTTTTCATGTGCAGGGACCCAGCTGAAATTCCCTGGGGTGAATCCGGTGTCGACTTTGTGGTTGAGTCAACAGGTACAGGATAAAGAAAGTGCTTTCTCGTAGTAACGTTGCACAAGACGGCTTGTTGAGCAATGCACCTTTGTCATTGTGCATGCAGGTGTGTTTACTACTATCGGCAAGGCCGAGGCCCATATTAAGGCTGGCGCGAAGAAGGTAGTGATTTCGGCTCCTTCAGCAGACGCTCCCATGTTCGTGATGGGAGTCAACGACGAGAAGTACCTTCCTTCCATGAACGTTGTCTCCAACGCCAGCTGCACCACCAACTGCCTAGCTCCGCTCGCCAAGGTAAGGAGACAATATGAAACAAAAGATCCAAAATTACCTTAAACATTGATGCTGTACCAGGAATGCACTGTCGCTTAATGCGGTGTTTGTTTAACATCCCTGCGTAACAGGTGGTTCACGAAGAGTTTGGCATTCTCGAGGGCCTTATGACCACTGTTCACGCTGTCACAGGTCAGTCTGCCAGAAAGCGATGCCTTGGTTTCGTGCTTAGACAGTTCCTGTGTCTTACGCTTGTCATTATGTCCTTTTGTGTTGCAGCCACGCAGAAGCCTGTTGATGCGCCATCGGCCAAGGACTGGCGTGGCGGCCGTGGAGCGGCGCAAAACATCATTCCCAGCTCCACTGGTGCAGCCAAGGTAACTGGGTCTATTTTTTTTTTTTCCACCTACTGAAAGAATTATGTTTGTACACAGATGTTACTGAGGATGTGAATGCGTGGTCAGGAATAGCACCTCAACATTTCTTTGGTGATACCGTGTGAATGCAGGCTGTAGGCAAGGTCCTTCCCGCCCTGAACGGCAAGCTGACTGGCATGGCCTTCCGTGTGCCCACTCCTGACGTGTCGGTGGTTGACCTGACTGTTCGCCTGGAAAAGGGAGCCAGCTACGATGACATCAAGGCAGCCATCAAGTACGCTGAGCCTAGCTCCTGATTCTTCGGTTCCTTTCAATGAGTTCTAACATGTGAATCTGCCTGCTCTATATGCAGGGCTGCATCTGAGGGTCCTCTGAAGGGCTACCTTGGATACACAGAGGATGATGTGGTCTCCACTGACTTTTTGGGTGATCCCAGGTAAGCATACAGTCTTCCGCAAAGTTTTATGTGCTGGGTCTCTTCATAAAGCTTAGCATCTGATGAATGTCTCTGAGCATTGCAGGTCGAGCATTTTCGATGCCAAGGCAGGAATTGCCCTCACCCCTAACTTTGTCAAGCTGGTGTCTTGGTATGACAACGAGTGGGGCTACAGGTAATTGATGTTACGTTTTCTTTGCTGCCGCCTTGGACGCTGTGTTTAAGGACCACCTAACGATACCCATCTGTTTGCTGTCTCCACTTGCAGCAATCGCGTGATTGACCTGATTGAGCATATGGTGGCAGTTGCTGTTGCCGATGCGGGCAATTAAAACACATCAGATGCATTTAGTATAAGATGATGGCTTGTCATTTTCCTCGCTATTAGTGGAAAATGTGTGCAGGAAGATTCAAGACTTGTCTATTCCCATTTACCTCGCCAATAGAGTGCACATTTCCTAATATCATTCAGCACTTTGCAAGCGAGCGTGCTAACATCGGAGCATTTTAAGACCCGCGAAATATCACGTAAACGAAGTGAACGAAGAACAGATTTCAAAGAAGGGGCGAAGCGGACAGCTCGAACTGATGTGGCGTCCATGAATTTTGACGACCAGCAAACACCTCTTCCACGATAACGTGGAACCAGTTCGATCTGTCAATAGAATATCGCCACATGGCTTGTTCGTAGGTGATTGGCTGGTAGACTGCCACATAGGATCTGAGAAAGTAAGCACCTTTTTTAAAGGTCAGTGTTTCTCCTACATTTCGGTTTCCGGTCAGCTTACATAACCTGCTGATTTTGTATTACAGGCCCCGACACTAACATCAAATCCTCGTTACCTGCAAGAAAAGTCTACTGTACAAAGTGGGTATTCTTGTCCATTGCCTTACGCAAAAAAGGAGATGGAGCAAAAGAAATTTGGAGCAAAGCCGCTGTCTTGGTGCAGGCAAACAGTCCTTGGAAGTTCCAACCTCCAAATTCTGAAGCACCCCAAATTGACGGCTGGGGCTCTTCCCCCCAGTGTCTTCGCATCCATTCCCTTCCCCAGCAGCACAGCCCCTTTCCTGACCACATTTCGCCTAGGATTGCAGGCCATTCGAGCCAGTTGTGCAGCCCACTCACCACATTTACCAACAGCGCATTCTCAACTTGGCCCACCATCGAAGTTTGCCCACCAGCCCGTTTTTCCGAAGATGATGGTGCCTTTGGTGGGAACGCTCCCACTCTACCCACCGAACCTCATTTAGGCGGGCGACAGATGTCGCCAGCGTCGCATGTCCGATATCCAATGAAATTGACGCGCCAGCTCGCATACCAAGTGTTGGAGGAACTTCGTCAGGCAAAACCTAAACAGCCGTGCCTGACGATTGCGCCTACGTAAATTTTGGGCACAATGGTCATATCAAGTGAACGTGGGTTTACTTGGCAAAATCAAGTAAGCAACGCAGAAATGGGTTGCGTGGGCAGGAAAGAAATATATGTGACGGCTGTGTGCATGAAACTGGCATGTCTAACACTAGTCCCAACACCCAGCAAACGTGGCACGATCTCCATTGTCGTACACTGACGAACAGGCCAGGAATTGCGACCATGGCCGGTTGGACTCATGGTGGCCAAACTTCGAATCGCGTGGGGAAACTTTCCAATGTAAAATAATGCCACGTCAACAATTCGAGTCGCGTGGGCAAACTTCTGATGGTGGGAAAATTTGAGAATGCGCCCTAAGCTGCCTACCAGGATTGAGTTCAGACCCCGCACGAAGTCGACGCTGTATGTACCGACTGAAACACATCACGTGTCACAAGTTCGTCAGCGTGTCCGGCTTTCCCCGAACTCCTCTTAATAGTCGCCGTCCAGACGGTCTAAAGCTCCTTTTTTTGAACGTCGCTGCGGGGAATCTTCGCATTCTTCGTCGCCAACCGTACACTTCGTCAAACTGATGTCGCCTGTACATGCCCGCTCCTCGTTGTACGCGCCAACAGCAACCCCGCTATCCCCACTTATGCACTCCCCCAACAGCACCTTGCCCCGTCAACGGTGCTGTAGACCCTCCGCCGTCTCAACACCCCCTCGGATCCCTTCAATCCTTCCTTCCCGCGCTTCCCTAATCTCACGGAGCACCGTAAGCCCAGCCTTCCCGACTTCCTATGAGAAGGCCCGATTTTCCCGCGGCACCGTAGGAGCTGAAACCAGCGCCTGTTGCGGTAACAGCAGCCGCTATCGCCGCTCCTCCATTTTTTGCGTGTCGTCTTCCGCGCATTCCTCACCCGCTCGTGGGGGATTTATATCCGCGGGGAAGAATGTCGATACGAGGTGGAACTCCGCATATGCGCGGAGCAACCAGGGAACGCAGAATGGGATCTGTTCGCGGGGAGGCGCTGGGGTTCCAAACAGGCCATTTCTTAAAGGCATGGGGGTGGGACCGGGGCTTCGGAGAATAGGAGGGGACGAATTCGGGGGAAGTAGAGGGGCGGAGGAAGTTGGTGTGCGAAGAAGAGTGGTGGTGCGAGCTGTGGGCCCCGAAATAGGTTCAAATGCGGCGTACGATGTGATTGGGTCGCTGGGGCTCGATACACTCACGTTCCTGGTGGCCACCGTTATTGTTATCCCGGCTTTCAAAAGCCTCAAAATAAGCCCGGTAAGGCGGGACAGCGTATCTTACCCACTGCATACCTTCACTAGACAGGAAAGCGAACGACGGGCCGTTATGAAGCTTGCGATTCCGTTCGCGTTCCTTTCCCTCACAACGTTGGCCTCGTAATTTCTTACCTCCGCTGTTTTGGGCTCTAATGCTTTGCAGATTCTCGGATTTCTTCTATCGGGTGTTGCTCTTAACGAGTTGGGGCTCATTCGGAACATCACCGACGTGAAGGCACTTAGCGAGCTTGGGATTTTGTTCCTGGTGAGTGAGTATAGTGCTGCCATTGTTCTGCTTTTGTAACAAAACGGCGGTAATTCGAAGGTACAAGAAAAGGCCAGATGCAATTGAAGAAAGGTTAAGAAAAGTAGGGTACCACATTTTCCTTGCGCAGTCAAGAGCTCTATTGACGCACTAGCCAGGTGCACGCGCACGAACTTGTGAATGACCATCGCTCCGCCCCGTCCCCATCACTTCGCTCCACATCACTCCCCATCTCCGCACATCTGTCTACGTGTGCAACCCCCGTCTCCCTCTACCGCCCCCATGACAGCTCTTCGAAATGGGCCTCGAGCTCTCCCTCGAGCGACTCAGAGCACTCGCCAAGTTCGCATTCGGCATGGGCCTTCCGCAGGTACCACCTGTTCCTGACGCCCCACTCCCCAGGTACCACCTGCTCCCGACGCTCCCCTCCCCAGGTACCACCTGCTCCCGACGCTCCCTTCCCCAGATTCCTCCCTTCTCCGTAGCCCTTCCCCCATCCGCCTCCTGTCATTACCTTTTTTTTGTCTCATCTCCCCACATCTCAAGGCGGCCAGATCCCCGAATCTGGTTCAACACATTTCCTAGAACCCTCTGTTGGCTGATTTTTGAGTCGACTCAAAATCAAGAACCCTCTGTTGACTCTGCATCTGTCTCCTCCGTCCATCTCTCATCACTATCCTCCACTCTGCCACCCAATCCCTACCTCATCCGCCTTTCCCAGTGTCTTTGAGCCAGCACCACACCTTACTGGTTGTCCTCTTTCCAGTGCTAAGCTCACTAATACAGTTCCCACCCACGGTACTATTACTTGCTTACTCTCTCCCCCGCCCGCCCTTCCTCTTTCTTCCTCCCTCCCTCCCTCCCTCCCTCCCTCCCCTCCCTCCCTCCTCCTCCCTCCCTCCCTCCCTCCCTCCCTCCCTCCCTCCCTCCTCCCTCCCTCCCTCCCTCCCTCCCTCCCTCCCTCCCTCCCTCCCGCCCTCCCTGCCTCCCTCCGTCCGTCCCCCTGTCATCCCTACAGGTTCTCCTCACCACGCTTGATGGAAGTAAGGCCTCCGCAGCCCACCTGTCCTCTCTTGACAGTTCCCTCCCTCCCGCCCTCCCCCTGTCATCCCTACAGGTTCTCCTAACGACGCTTGCCTTCACAGCGTTCGAGCTGCCAATCGACAATGCCATCGGCACCCGTGCGCTCGAATTTCTCTTTGGGGCCAAAGCTGATCTGGTACGTTCTCACCTACTCTACTCTAGTCGTCCCTCAAAACACACAAGCAAAAGCCAGCTGTTCTGTAGCATACAAGCTCGAGAGATAGCTTTCGTGCTGAAAATCAGAGGTTCTTGCATTCTGGCAAGCGGCTCTAAATGCCACTACCTATCCATGCTTGCCCGGCCTGGGTATCTTGTGCTTGCATGCTCCTTTGCAGGTGAACATCCGGTCGCTAGATGAGGCCATTGTCATTGGAGCTGCTCTTGCGCTCTCCTCATCCGCCTTCGTGCTTCAGGTGGGCTCATGCTCATGCTCTGCACAGGTCTCACGGTCTCTTCAGGGCTCAGTCAGCATTATTCCACCGGCATTCAATTTGTGTCCAAGCGCTATTCAGTCAGTATCTTTTCGAGTGCCAGTCCCACAAGGTACACATCCATTATAAGGTCCATTACCAGCAATCAGCAAACATTCCCACTCATGAATCCCCTTCTCTCTCCACTCGCCTTCCTCCCCCGTTCTCCCCACCGTTTCCGCTTCCTCCTCTCCGCGCCCCCTTCAATTGCCTCATGCAGCTTTTGTCTGAAAGGGTGAGCTCGCCACTCGCTACGGATCGGCAACTCTCGGCATCTTGCTGCTGCAGGACATTGCAGTCGTCCTCTGCTCGTCATTCTCCCCATCCTTGAGAACGGGGTAAGAACCAACCACCAATCAACAGAGACATGAGAAGTTATGATACCCTCCCATTCCAGAACAAACAGCACGGCACCTATTGACTGGACACAATGTTGCATCATGGGACGGCATGGGGCAATATGCTGACAAAGGTCACATCTTATTCCATTTAGGCCTTGGGCAATATGCTGACAATGGAAAAGGGAACAACTCACTTGTTGTCATTGTGAAAAACTATTGTAACGTACTCACAAGCGCACCTTACACGCCTTTGAGGCCTTCACTGGGAGAGCGCACAGCTCACGGGACACAGCACGTGCGTGATCATCACCACACCAACACTAAACGTGGTTCTATTCTGCACCTGTTCACAACCTGATTCCTCACAACACAAAGGTATTGGCTACTCACCCGTCCATGCGATTTTACATCCCATCCCCTCATCTCCGTGCACATCTCCTCCTCTTCTCATGTCCCCCCCAACATCCCCGTCATCTGCCCCCACCCCATTCCATGCCCCACCCCTTCCCCACGCCCAGGACTTCACTTCACAGACAATTCCATCTCCCCTCTGCTCGCTCCGGAGGCAGCCGAGGCGACTGATGATTCGACTCAAGAAAAGCCATTCACCCTTCTTTCTTATCCCCTCCCTTTTTCTGCTTCCCGCCCCTTCCCTACGCCCAGGACTTCACAGACGATTCCGTCTTCCCACTGCTCGCTCTGGAAGGAGCCCAGGTGAGGTGATCTGAAGTCAAACCAATCACCCTTATTCCCTCCCGGTTGCCACTCCCTGTTTCCCCCCCCAACACGCAGGACTTCACAGACGATTCCGTCTTCCCTCTGCTCGCCCTGGAAGGAGCCAAGTCGCTGCTGGGGCTCGGAGCTCTGCTTTACACGGGGCGTATTGCCCTGCGCCGGCTCTTTGAGGTGAGGCTGCATGGCAGCATGATGGCATAATGACATAATGGCATGATGGCGTGATGGGGCGTAATAATATGATGGCATGATGACATGATGGCATGTTTCCATGATGGCGTGATGGCAGGATGGCAGCATGCGTGACTCTTGCTGTTTAGAAGCCATGCACCCTGTGCCTATCCTTCATCTCTCTCCCCACCCCGCGCTTCCTCTCCCTCTGCCCGCCTCTCTGTCTCGTCCTCTCTGCAGTTCGTGGTAGAGTCGCGCAGTTCAGAGGCGTTCATTGCTCTCTGCCTCTCCTTCATCTCTCTCCCACCCCATCCCTCCTCCCATTTTGCCCTGCCTCTCCCTATCCCATTCTGCAGTTCGTGGCAGAGTCGCGCAGTTCAGAGGCGTTCATTGCTCTCTGCCTACTCACAGTCACGGGAACAGCTCTCATTACCAGCAAGCTTGGATTCAGTGACTCGGTAAGACTATTCTTGGACCACCCGACATCACGTCATCAGACCATCATTTCAAACTCATCCACTCGCATGCTTATAAGTAAGAGCCTGAATACAGGTGCACTTGTTTTCTCCCTCCTTAACGTTGAGCACGACTGACGCTGAAGTAATTTCCCTTGTCTCTCTCTCTCCCCTGTGCATGTGTGTGTAGTTGGGAGCGTTCCTAGCAGGAGCACTGCTGGCGGAGACCAACTACCGCACACAGGTGGAGGCGGACATCCGCCCCTTCCGAGGGCTGCTGCTGGGTCTCTTCTTCGTCACCACTGGCAGCTCCATCGACCTCAACGTGAGTGCACTCGTACAACTGTGTAGACTCTCAGAGACTTATTCAGGCACTTGCCCTATTGACTGGCGGCATTGCTACAACATCTCTCATCACAGCGCTTACCATCCCTCCCATCAACCTCCTGCGCCCCACCTCCCTTACCCTCACCTTTTCTTGCAACTGACAGCGTTATTGCTGCCAAAGGTCCTGGCTCCTTGGACTGGACAATCGCACAATTGCTGCACCACTCGTCTTTCCTCATCACTCCCTTAGCGCTTTCCTCCCTCCCTCCACAGCTGCTAGCATCGGAGAGGCCAACATCCTGGCGCTACTAGCAGGCCTCATAGGCATCAAGGCAGCCATCGTCACACCTTTCAACTCACTTTCTCCAACTCTTGGTGTTCATCTCCCCCTCTCTCTTTCTTTTCCAGCTGCTAGCATCGGAGAGGCCAAAACATCCTGGCGCTACTAGCAGGCCTCATAGGCATCAAGGCAGCCATCGTCACACCTTTCAACTCACTTTCTCCAACTCTTGGTGTTCATCTCCCCCTCTCTCTTTCTTTTCCAGCTGCTAGCATCGGAGAGGCCAAACATCCTGGCGCTACTAGCAGGCCTCATAGTGGGAATATACGCTTAACACCTTAAGCGTATAGCGTATGTACGCTAGCGTACATACGCTATCCGCTATACGCTAGCTAATACGCTATACGCTATCAGAAAATTTTTTAGGGCTGCCCGAAAAAAAAATCGCAAAAAAGAATTCCTAGGTGAGCATTTCGCCATAGTCGAAATTCAAATCCGCGGTCTAGGCAAACGGGGATCTGACTTCGAAGTCGTCTGGCAAATCTTGAATTGAGATCCATATAGGGATTGAAATCCATCCCTTCTACCGCATTGAACCCCACTTTATCTACAAACACCAACCTGTCCAATTTAACCCCCCAACAAATCTCACGGTACTTACCAGCCAACCCTTTTGGCTAACCCTAACTCGTCATTTCGTTCCCGCTTTCACCAGAGTTCACGCTACTTCGCTTTCAAGCTATTAGGTCTACTCCACCTCCCATTGTACGAGTCATTCGGATTCAGGATTATGCTAGGGCAAGCCTTAATAAGAAGAGGGAGTACTTTTTTCACCTGCCCGGAAAGTTTTTCCTCTGCCCGAAAAAGCGTATCTGCAAACCGGACCCCTAAGCGGATAGCGTACATACGCTAGCGTATATGCGACACGCGTATATACGCTATACGCGTATATTCCCACTTCATAGGCATCAAGGCAGCCATCGTCACACCTTTCAACTCACTTTCTCCAACTCTTGGTGTTCATCTCCCCCTCTCTCTTTCTTTTCCAGCTGCTAGCATCGGAGTGGCCAAACATCCTGGCGCTCCTGACGGGTCTCATAGGCATCAAGGCAGCCATCATCACAGCCCTCGGCCCACGTGTGGGCCTCACTCTCTCGGAGTCCGTGCGCACGGGGCTGCTGCTGTCCCAGGGGGGCGAGTTCGCCTTCGTCGTCTTTGCCCTGGCCAACCAGTGAGTTATATTTTCATATCTAAACCCCACTCCCGGTGTGCCTGACCGCCTCATAGGCACAAAGGCAACCATCATTATGGCGCTAGGGCTGCGTGTGGGGGTCAATCTCTCGGAGTCTGTGCGCACGGGGCTGCTGCTGTGGCAAGGGGGCGAGTTCGCCTTTGTTAACTTCGCCCTTGCCAGCCAGTGAGTCATATTTCCATAGCATAACCCACGCTCTCCCTCACCAAAAGTTGTCCTCGCCCTCGCCAACCAGTGAGTCATAAGTGTTCAACATAACACACGTTTCTGCCTCGCTCGTCTTGTGTTTTTCGAGGCGCCTCATTAGTTGTCTTCTCCATTGCCAAAAGTTCTCCTCGCCCTCGCCATCCAGTGAGTCAACAGAACCCCCCCTCTTGCCTCACTTGGCTTGTCAATCCCAATCCACATGTTTCACGGAGCTCTACATAACATCTTTGACTCTCTCCCTCCCTCCCTCCCTCCCTCCCTCCCTCCCTATCCCTCTCCCACCATTCAGGCTGGGCGTGCTCCCACTGGAGCTGAACCGGCTGCTCATCATCGTTGTGGTGCTATCCATGGCGCTCACGCCCTTCCTTGACGCCCTGGGGCGCAGAGCAGCAGAGTACATTGAAGACAATATCGAATCCAGGGACGCTGCCACCGTTGCTGCTGCGGGCGTGCGTGGTGGGGGCAGCTGTGGGTAGACTGGGACCGGGTGGGAATGGAGCGATGAGCGAAGGTGAAAGGCAGCATGGAAGGCCAGCAGGTGAGTCCATGTCTCTCTGCTGTTGCTGCCAGGGCCGTGAGTGGTGTGGGTGGCGTGGCGGAGTCTGTTGGTAGACTGGGTGCGGGTGGGAATGAGACGATGAGTGAAGCTGATGGCGGCATGGAAGGCCAACAGGTGAGTCCATGCCTCTCTGCTGTTGCTGCCGGGGGCGCAGGGCCGATAGTCACTCTGGGATTCAACCGGATGGGGCAGGTGCTCACCAGTGTACCTTCTCCTCCATATTCCCGGATTAACCCCCTGTTGCTCATGTCACCATCACAGGCAGGCGCATCCCACTCTACTCACTTCGCTGGCGCAGAGCCGATAGTCATTTCGGTGTTCAACCAGATGGGCCAGGTTCTCACCAGTGTACCCTCCCCTCCCTATCCATCCATCCCCGTCTCTCCTACCACCATCACAGGCAAGGCGCATCCCACTCTACGCACTTCGCCGGTGCGGAGCCGATTGTCATTCTAGGGTTCAACCAGATGGGGCAGGTGCTGGCCAATTTCCTCTCCACGCCACTTGCAGCGGGGTCAGGGGGCGACGCTGCTGGTTGGAACTTCATTTCCTTCGATCTCAACCCCAGCGCGTGCGGGTAAGGCCGCCTACTACACTCCCTTTCAACATTTCCTCCAGTTCCAACTTGTAACGGGTTTCAAGCTTCCTTAGTACCCAACACTCTTCAAACCTCACCCTTGCCCCTCTCAATCCACTGACAGCTTGGCGCATCGCATACGGTTTCCCTGTCCTGTATGGCGACGGCAGCCGCCCGGCAGTGTTGGAATCAGCCGGCATTAGCCGCCCGAAAGGCCTTCATGGTCGTCTATTCCAGCCGCACCCGATCCGTGGCTTCAATCGAGCGGCTCAAAGAGGCGTTCCCTGGGGTGAGTGTCTGTGATATATTGTGTGAGTTTTTGTGATGTCAGTTGTGCGTGTTTGTGATGTCAGTTCTGAATGTCTGAAATCACTCGTGAGCTGACTCACAAGTCACCACCTCTTTCTCCTCCCTCCTCCTCCCTCGCTCCTCCCCAGGTGCCTCTGTACGCACGGGCAGTGGACGCAGTGCATCTCTCGGAACTGAGGCGCGCAGGAGCCACTGACGTGGTGCTGGAGAGTGCTGAGGTGAGTTCAAGACACACTAGGTTTTTCTCCTTTGTCGGATTGTCTTATTCGTCGAAGACTTGTAAGTACAGCAATCAAGGTGCCTCTGATTCTTTTCTCCACCTCTCATCCTCTTGCCCTTCAGACCACTACCTCGCAGCTGTTCCCCAAACGCTACTAGCTACTCTTTTTCTCTCGTTCTCAACCCTGCTCCTCGCCCTACACACTATCTAGCACATATTGCACTCGTCTCCCGTGCACCCATGCAGACTAGGCTTTATGCTGCTGCAGGAGATGGGGGTGATGCAGGACGACCTGGTGTTTGTGCCATTTCTCCCTCTCGCCCGCCCCTGATCCAACCCCTGCTCCTCTTCTCCCCCGTCCCTTCACTGCAGACTGGTCTCCGCCTGGGCTCCATGCTTCTGCAGGACATGGGAGTGATGCGAGACGATGTGGTGTTTGTGCGGCGCCTCATGCGGGACGCCATGGACCAAAGGGCTCTCTCTGCTTCCTCCTCCAATCCTCCGACCTCATCTCCTCCCGCCTCTTCTCGAAACTCTCAAGGTAAGGCTTCTCCTTCATCCCTGGTTGCTGTGCGTGGAATCTTCAAGCAGTTTCTTTATCATTCTAAAAAAACCGTATCGACTCTCCAGTCAAGCTTGTTGTGCGCACTCTTCGACTTCAATCCACCTGAAACTGTAATGTATCGCCTTTACCGTCTGTTCATCCATCAGGAGTACGCTTGGTCGGAGAGCCATTCGGCCCATAGAGCCCACAGCCTTCCTCATGAATCAACAAGATGACCGCACCGCCGCTCCGTCATCTGCAGCCTCCGCTGCAGCTTCTGGCTGTCGATGGGGACACGATTCAGCAGGAGAATCCTGCTAAAGTTGCCGAGTTTACCGGCTACCCGTGCATCCACAGTGGCTGCTACAGCTGCAGCTGCCGCTACAGCGGGCGTGCTTGTCGCGAGCAAAGAAGACAATACTTCAGCAGCTCCAAAAGAAGAGGGAGAGGGCTCAAAAGCAGGGATCAAAGAAGCGCCTGTAGCAAGGGGTTTAGGTGCAGCAGAGCTCCCGTCCCTCGAGTCACCAATGGGAATCAACCCCGTGTTCGATACTGGCAGACGCGCAGGCTTCGCCTGACGGCATGCTGCAGTACTCTCTCCGATGGAGAGGACTTTGTGGACCGGAATCTCAGTCTTGATGCCAGTCAGCTACCCGCAGGCGCTACCATGCCGCCTTCGTTGGACTCGCCAGCAGTGCTGGGAGAGGGGTTCGGCTCGGAAGGATTGCAAGCCGCGGCGGGTGAGAGGCTGGTCTACTTTTCAGATGGGGATGATTTCGTTGATGTCAAGCTGGAGCTTCCTCAGTCTGGTGACTTCCCTCGGGAAAAGTAACTAGATATTTATACGGTGATGCTTGTGTATCACGATGGATACACTGACTCTATCCTTGCTAATGCAGGTTCATTTTTCCTATGTAAGCACCATGTATTTCTGGAAAAAATTCAGTGCTGGCCAAGCAATAACATCCAATCAAACTCTCCTCAGCTTCCATCATTGACAACAAAGAAAGTGAATGCATTTCACTTGCACCAACAAGATTACAGCATGCTACTGCGATAAGCACCACAAATACACCACCACCAACACCTTTGGGCACAATCCTCTAGGGCGCTTCGCTTTCTCTTCACGTAAGACAGCACAAAAGACCATCCCTAAACGCCTCATCTGACGCCTGGCAGAGCTGTAGATTGTCCAGAAAAGGGCCAGCTTCTATTGAAAACCAATTCTCCTTAGAAGCCCCGGCCAACGGACCAGACGCGGATGTAACCGTCAGTGTAACCACCATAGAGGGTGGCTCCATCTGCGCTCCAGTTGAGGCTCACACAGTACGGTGTCTGGTAAGGGGTCAAGAGGGCAAAGAGAGAGGAAGTGAGCAAGGAAATGGGGGGGGAAAGGTTAGTGTGCGAGAGAAGTGGGAAGGCGAGGAATGGGATGGTCAAGGGTGGGTGGAGAGTAAGAAAGGTGAGAAATGGGACACTCTTAGCAGCTCTCTGAAAGTCCTCCATGCAACTGCAAACCCTATCATCTGCAGCAATTTGAGGTCGTAATCACCCTGTCTCATCACCCCTCAACTTGTTCCCCAGCCTCCCCAGCCTCCCCCAGCCTCCTAACCCCGACGAAGCCCAAAACGTGCACCGGTGGAGCAAAACTAGCGTACCAGGCTTGCCTGTTCTCATGCCCGTTAAACTCCGTGCTCCTCTCCTCTCACCTCGCCTGAACCCGCGTGCACCTCGCCTCTTATGCTTAAACGACCGTTTCTGGAAAGGAAACAACAGCATTGTTTCGGATTCGGCACCACGACTTCACACGGCTCACGTAACTCCCCCCCTCGTTTCCTTCCCTCCAGTATGCCCAGATCTCTGTGTTGCTTGTCACTGTTAGCACACCACAGGGGGGCACCGCCCTGCTCCTCGCCTGCCACTTTCCCTCACGCAACTCCATAAAGCCCTCCCTCCCCTCACCCGTCTATTTCATTCACCCGTCCTTGACTCTCCTCTCCCCTCCGCTCACCCCCCTCGACCCTCCCCCTTCCACACGCACCTGGCATTTTGTCTTTCCCCGCCTGTCATCGGTCTGAGCTGACCCCTCCGGCACG